AACTTGCTAAGAAAACAACCACAAAACAAGTTGGTCCCACTCCATCATCACCAACTAGCTCCCACGCTTGTGGTACCAAGCGTAAGTTTGATGACTTATGTGCTGCTGAGGCCATAGACGGCGAAATTCTCCCTGATGCCCAACCTCAAGAGAACCTCCCAGTCAATGATACAACTGAGGAAATTGAGTACAATCCTCCACAGAAGCGAGCGAAATCTTCCAATGCCGAGCAGCCTTCTCGTATTGCGGTTTTTGCTCGCTATGCTGCTACAGCTATCACTGGGGCCGTTTTAGGTGGAGTCGGGACTGTTGTTGCTCTTGCTTCCCTACCTCCAGGCTTCTTTGATTAAAAAGACGCAAGACAAACAGGTCCCTATATCCACCTTCCGAGCTGCTGCATCTTACTTTACTACCTTCTTTCTTTTTCACCCCTGATCCATTGGTCTTCTATTCATGGTTCGATTTTTTTATTTTTATTTTAGTTTACCGGGGTTTACAATCCAGACCACCTTCGTTCCTCTCACGCCTAGGTATAGTTGACGGCAGATAGCAGGGTAATGGTATGGAGCTGGGATCCGGAGTTCACAATGGACATGGGGCAGGGCTTATCATTTAGTATTTTGACCTTTTTTTCTTAACAATAGGGACATGCCTCGAAGGAGGCTCTTAATTCATCTGAAAGTACTATGGGTATTTGTTTACGGGGGTTATTTGAAGTTCAGGAAGATGGGGAGGGGGGGGGGGGGTTTCTATGATTTTATCTCCATTCTTTGCTTGGGGTATTTAACTCGTTACTTCACAACCATTAGTTATGTAGTTAACTATCTTGCTAGCTTAATTAAGTAACTAGCTAGTTCGTTAGTTAGCTACGTATTCCAAACCAACACGTTCTCTCATTGAGTATTGCCCGTATTTACTCGCTATACTGCACTTCTCGATCGCCGTCTTGATTAAATGCTGGAGCATATCTATTGAAAGTAACCAATGGCTTATTGAGATGTGACATTTACGCTGGGATGCATTGCGGTTAACTATTCGACAGGTCTTCGGGGTACAACCCTCGAAGGATCAGGTTATACAGGACACGAAGGGGTTTTAGTTAACTGGCTAAAGTTGATTTTCAGATCATCGCAGAGTTAACTATGTTAACTAACTAGTTAACTACTGTGGCACAAGCCCGGGTAGCTGCATTGTTATTTCTGAACTGTTTCAATCACTCGGTCCCGAATCCTAGTCTGACCTCATGCTGACCGTCTCTTCCATATTATTTCTAGCCGAACCTGATGCGATCCAAAATGGGACACTTTTCCTGTCAGCTACTTGTGATCTTCAACATTAGAAGGCTGTTCGTGCAGCTCGGCTCGAACTCAATGATCGATCAGGCTGTACCTCCTTGAGAAGAGTAACCATTTTCATCCTCCAGTGCGTCGATACTCGATCTCCCTTAATGACATCGGATTTGCTATAACTAGTTACCTGAATCTAGGGAACACTTAGGAATACGTCGACCTGACTGCTTGATCTTGCCCTCGGCATTTGTTTTAATAATAGGTATATAACCAATCTCCATTACTTTCTCGATGGTTAGTTAACTACGTAACTAGTCAAGGGTAACCGAAAAAACAAAAGAAAAGAAAAAGAAAAAGAAAAAGAAAAAAGAAAATGAAAGGAAGAGCAGAAAATACGAAGCGACTTCCAGCAGTGCCCTTTAACATCGACGAGATCGGATGGCGATTCGCCCCCCCGTTATCAAGGATCCGGTCACCGAAACAACTAACTAGGCTTCTCACAGCTGTCTCTCTTTACTCAGAACTGGCTGGGAGGTAACTAATCAATAGTTAATGCTTCATGCAACAATCTGCTTTAGGCAGGCCAGTGTCGCTTGTGCAACAATCGCTTCCTCCTTTGCTCCCAGCTGTTCTTTGCCTGCGAAGAGCTCTCATTCATTATTGATGGACTATATTCATCCCCTGCCCAGGGCCACTCTCTTTCGTTTCTTCTTTTGGGGCTGAGGCAGACTATACCCAGTATCTGCTCTGTTTCTTGTTACCCGAAACTTACCCAGAGAGTATGCTTAGGGACAACAAGTGTCTGATTTGCTTGACTTGCAGGACTCACCCAATGCTCTTTGCATCTGAACATCAAAATCACTGGCTGATCTCTCTCTCTCTCTCTCTCTCTCAGTCTAAACCTGGAGTACACTCCACCGTATCCAGCTCTATTGCTTTTTACCTTGCTGGTGCCTGGTGATGCATGACAAGGCTCGACCAAACAATATGCACACTTGGCCCTGGGACTCTTCGGCTATTTTTACTCCTGTCCCACTCCGAGGATATCCACCACTAGATATTCTGGCGCCTAGATATCCTATCACCAAGCTCTTGAATTATCTCGATTACACAGCGTCCCTGACATGGGCTTTGGACCTTGTTCTTGGGTCTCCATGTTGAACACTGAATTGGCAGATTGCACAGTGGTGTAATTTCCGCTTACCTCCGTGTGTACATGGGTAATGCTGAACGTTATACCAATACCTCAACGAAAGAATAAGCTTGGACAGGCTGATGCTGTAGAAATGAGAATGCCAAATACTCGATGCTACCCTAGGACGTAGCGGTGTGGAGGTAATGGCCCATCAAAGGCCGTTATGTTACACGATGATTAACAGGAACCTCTAGTGGCTTGTAAGCCTGCTGGAGTCCTCGTCATTTGACACTCAATCCAATTATTCGGTTCGTACTCGGTATTATCAACACGGTCTTTCCGAGCACTGGACACCTTTCTTCCAACCTGATTTGCTCTTTGAAATATGCATGCGACCACCTTTTTTTTTTTTTTTTTTTTTTTTTTTTTTTTTTTTTTTTTTTTTTTTTTTTTTTTTTTTTTTTTTCCGAATGCCCTATGAGACAGGCACATAACCAGCTATGGCTTGCTCCAGGAGGATGAATCGCAGGAAATGGAAATCTAGCATCCCATGTTGCAGGTTCATATGCAATGATAACATAGTCATGCAAACCATAACCAATGAATGGCGCAAGTAAGCAGATTTACATAACCCTTTGAGGCGAATGATTGCCCGTTGAAAGCACTGTTTATATGCTACATGCCAATGTCTGCTATGACACATCTTGAATCCTTATTTCATGTGATAGTTACCCATTACTCAACACAAACCACCGGGTTCTGCACATGTTATCTCTAGATCGAGGAAACCCAGGAAGTGCACGTCGTGTGCAGGTTGTGCTCAATTAGGCCCATATTGGTGTCACCCGAGCATACATTCGATGCTATTTTGCCTGTATCAGCAATTACTCAGGAGCTAACAGAAGCCAAGTGACGTAGGGTCAAGGCTCAAGTTACGGTAATTGAAACCCGCTATGCCTGAATCAACCTAACTTATACAGCTGTTCTCCTTGCCTTTAGCCGATTCCCATCCCCTAGAGAAGCGTTACCGTTGTACGGCAATCGAGAGCTTATCCTGTAGTGTGGTTCTCAGTTGCCGCACCTGCACAAAGCTATGTGTGGTAGGTTACGCCGACCAAGTGCTCGAGGGCCCATCGGAATCAATAGCCGCACCATCTGTTAGCCTGCGGTTTTCTACTTAAATATCGATCTGGCCGGGTGTTGGAGAGAGTCTGTAGACGGTGATATCTACTCCTGCTACCTCCATTCCCTCCTCGGCAATTTTTTTACAAGAAGCCTCGTTTATATCTTGGATATCAGATATCCTACATAAATACGACTAGAAAAACCAAAAGCATACCTTGTTTTTACTTTGGCTGTCTGAATTCGCAGATACGCCCAGCCTCGAGACACTGCTGTATTCTGATGCCTGCCATCGTGATTCCCAGGCGAGTTACGAATTTTGATACAATGACACAACCAAATAATGACGACTGGCGCACAACCATTTATTTGGACCCACAGCACATATTCTGCAATAATGGTAGAACCTTTCTTACCTGCAGATCTTGCGCAGGCAATCCACCCCGGTAAGGGCGTTTCAACCAACCTCTTTAATCATCAATATCAACTTCACTTGCAGCAACCGCACTTGCAGCAACCGCATTTTCTATGATTTGACTCAGGGGCTAATGAGCTTGCTTAGAGAACACAACTGCGAGGACTGCAGAGGTAACGGCTTTAATACGTACATATGTGGCCACTGTCAGAATGCATCTATATCCGATCGAGCGAGAATAGGACTGTTCACTACCGGCCCGTTGGCTACAGGACTCCCAAACCTCAAGGCCTCACGATCTTCCTCTCCTGAAAGCTCCGTCAGCTCGCTCGATCGCCTCCCTAAGTCGAGGAACCTAGATCCACATCAGCATGGCCACCCGAGATGAGCCAGAGGTAGAAGAGGAATCAAAAGATAATGGCTAGCTACTGGTCACAATAGCCTGCCTGGATAACTAGCCTATGCCGTGCAGGTTTTGGCGGTTGATTGGCTCTTTTCCTGCTTTTCTGGTTTTTACAGGATGAGAAAATGGCTAGTAGTTACAGCAAGAGACCGGTTTCAAACGGCCGGTCACTTTTCTCTGCTCATGGCTGACAATAATTCCCATTCCATCTTCTATCTTCTATTGACTATTCAGGTGGGCTTTGATGTTGGTGGGCTTGATGGCTCCGGCTGCTTGTGCCTCTTGTTGTTTCTCGAGGTCCGACCTCTAAGCGCAATCAGCCCTCGTGGCGTAATGGTTAACGTTTCAGACTTCTAAGCCACGTGATCCACCAAGGATGGCGTCCTCTGATATCTGACTATCCCGGTTCGAGTCCGGGCGGGGGTGCTTTTTTCTTTTTTTTTTTTTCTCTCTTTTCTTTTCCACGATTATTTCTTGTCTCGTTACCTAGAAGAAACCTTTGCTCTACAGCAACTACCTTGCCTTGCGATAAAAGGAAAAGGAGTACGGAGTAATCGACGTGGATAGAACTATATTTACTATTATCGTTAAGGCTGTGTGAACTTATTGATTTCCACTTCATCACTCAAGTCATCATCAACTCTCGTGTCCGAGTTTCCCCAGAGCTTCTGTCAAAAAGTCATCCGCATTCAACAATTCGGTACTGCCATACACTACTCTTCTGCCCGAACCAAGGGCAGAAGAATGGGCCGTGCCGCCTGCACCAGCGTTCGTTCCGCTTCCTCCGACCGAGATTCCCGCACCGGCCTGTCCGCCGCCGGTCCGATGTACCCAGTCCTGCAAATTACCATACTCGTCCATGCTGCCGCCGCCGACAGTGAAAACGATACCTTCATTGAACGCCTGGCGTCTTTGGCCGAATGTGGCATTTGTTCCGCTTGTTGCAGATCCACCAGACTGGGCGTTGCGAGTGGATGCAATTGAAGGAGGCATGGCGCCACGAGCATTGGCGCTCCGTGGGTCAAAGTATAGGTAGTTCTCTGTGAGTGCAATGGTTGAGCTGGAGGCCGCTGATGGGTCCATGATCGATTCAGTAATCTTCGTAATGGTAAGATCTTTGTTGGCTGGAAGGAAGTTCTTGACACCTGAAATAAGTGAGTCAAAGTTCGCGCCTAAGGCGCCAGCTGTAATGCGGTCCGTCAGCCGGTTGGAGAGAGAGGAAAAGCCACGGAAAAGGTCGGAGGAGGGCTGCTGAGGTGCGGTTGATGTCGATGTTGACATCATCGTCATTCTAGTGATCTCCCGTACGCGTTTCACGTACGCTATGGGGCTGATATCAGTGCAACCAGCCTGTTTCAACGCTTCTTCAAAACGGTTGAGTTCAGCACGAGACAGATCTGACTCCGTGCTCAAGAACCAGATGATAAATAACCTTAATTTATCGACTGGGTTCTTTCCTCTCTCGGGATCTGATATTATCTCCAGCATCTGCGTTTTGTTTTGCTTGTTGATGTTTTCTTCAAGCTGAAAGAAGTTATCGAGTTGGCGGTCTTTGATCCCTTTGAGCAAGGCCGTGGCGATATTCATATGCATATCAAGAAGTGCTTTCCGCTCGCGTAGTTCGGGTAGAAGTGTAATAGCAGTCTTCAGGTGCTGGGCAGACGCACCCGCATCAATATTGAGGTCCTCAATGGACGATGCCCCCGTCTTCTTCGTGATCTCGTTTGCATCGTCTTTATATCGGGTCAATTCTGCATCAATATCTTCCGCAACCTGTGGAAAAGGCACCCCTGCATTTCGATTCCAGAAGAAGTCATTCACATTCAGATCATAAGATTTAGTCGTCATGCCTTTACTTAGATCGGACTCGTCGATAGGCGACTGTACTGTTATGCGGTTCAGATGCATCTTCAAAACATCGTGAATGAGCGATTGGTACGTCCACGAGTGAGAAAGCATTGGGACAAGGTCAACATTTCGATCAACTATTATCAGAACAGGCCGGCTAGAGGGTAATGCAGTACCCTGTCGTTGAGAGCCACCGGAAAATAAGTTGTCTTTCGAATTTAATATATGATCTCGAAGCTTGCGATCAAGTTTTGCAGCTATAAGCTCGGCGGCACCACCCTTTGGACATCTGATAATGGGTATCGATCCTGGATAGTAGAACATTAGTAACAGTTTTTGATCTTGAGATAGACATGAACTCACCCATTGTGACACTGACACTGAACAGACCGCTGACGATTCTGTCCACAACAACATCCAGCTCTTCATCCTTGGTTGTAGCGCTGTTGATTTTCCAGTATGTATCCTTCCCCATGCCTAAGCTGAATAGCTCCGGTTCTGCAACGGTAAAATTTAAATACTGATCATAAATCTGGGCGACCTTGTCTGCTGTTCCAGTAGCGGCAATTTCTGCAGCAAAGTCTTCGAGAATAGGTCGGGGAACGGAGGAGAGGAAGTTCACGTATGCGGGGGAGTAGAGGCCTTTAGATAGATCGGAGGTGATCATTTTGATGTTTTCAATAGTTGGCTCAACCAAGTATATAACCGGCACATCTGGAATAGGGTAGCGCCGTGAGTTTAGATTACTATTTAGTGGTCAGCTACGGCCACCAAACGGAATATGGGGGGTAATAAGCACGAACAGATGGATTGTAACTCCCCAGCTTCGAAGGTCATTAACACGAAGAACACTGCTAATGACATCGCGTCCAAGATTATCAAAGACAAGTATCTTCCACACTGGGTCGCCATCCTCATTCAGTAGGGGGGCAGCCCGAGGTATGAGACCGTTTTTGCCTGCAGCAGACTCCCCCTGAAGCTCGTTTTGAGGAGGAATTTCATGGTTCAGATTTAAAATATGCTCAATTGAAGCTGATGGAGTATGTCAGAGTCATATCTTAGATGGTAAAACAGAGGGCGAACGTACCGATCTGCCGCTGCCGGAGGGAGAGAGGGCTAGATGCCATCGTAGCATCTAGTTTGTTTGGTGAAGCAAAACTTTCCTCTCCTTGACTAGATAGCTTCGTCACTGCCTTTGTTCATGCAAATTTAGTCAAGCCAGTACACTATACGTATCAACCAGCTCTGCGCCGTCGCTGCGCCCGTAATATATAAATCGCGAATGGTTGCAGTGTTGCAGTGATGCTATCGCGGCTCTACTGGCAATGAAGCTCACACACATGGCTGACGTAAGAGACGCACACGTGATATTGGATAAACAACGGCCCGAAGAGTATCAGGTGATCGGGTGATCACATAAGCAACGAAACGCCTAAGAGAAGGTCAAAACCCTGAACGTCGCCAGTTTTCTCAACCTCAACTCCAACCTCCTTTGTGCATCGCCAACCACCTCTAACTCATCCAGAGGTCGGTTCGTTCAGCGTTGCCTTCCTTGGTGGCCTCTTCTTGTACATTTCTTGTCCTTGTTCCTCGTGTCATCGCATACCGCGCCACCGTAAAGAGGAGCGCTATGCCACCAGCCTCACAGTAATATCATACGACCTCCTCGCACCCGTCCGCCACGCGCCAGCACCTACGACCAGGTTTATTCTACTGCTGAAAAATAGTTGTCTGTGAAGGATACTCCGTACTACTCAACTGGCGCTAAAAACAAAGTTAACAGAGCAGGTTATTGGTTTGGAGAGACGGGGTTACTGAGAGAAGGCAACTGTTTTACTGCTGCATTTACGACCAGCAACCTAAGATCTTGTACTCTTTCTTCTTCTGTTTCCTTGTCATTTTCATTCTCTCGTTTTGCCTCTGACCATTTTGGAGTTGGGTATATTAAAATTGCGCAAAAAGGGGGGATTCTCTTTTGTTTTTGAGGGCCAACAGCCCAGGATCACTATAAAGACGACACACCCCGAGCATCACCACACGGCAACAAGAAAGCTCCCGGGGGAAAGGAAAGGGCTCATGCCCAGCGGCTCAGCCTTGTTTCTCTACGCTCAGCCTGGCTAATGGTTCCAGAGCATCGCGCGCACACAACCACTTCCCCAGCCTTTTATACACAACGCTGCGTTAAGAAAAGAGCCGCTCCCCCTTCAGTACAGGCAAAAGCGGCGGCAGAAAGCTTACGTGATCCTGGCACGACGCCACTTATGCTAGCCAAATCGGGCAAGCTCTAGCTTTGTCAGCATTAAAGCAGCCACAACTTTATACCGCCCAACCTTAGCACGTGACCTGTACCTGCCAGCAACCTTTTCTTACTTTTATTTACTTTTCGCCGCCCATAGTTCGGCCTCTATATATCGAGCTGCGGCCTTTGACATCTAAACGACGATGGACTCGACCACGGATCCCAATCCGCCGCCGCCGTCGGATCCGGGTGTAGGCCATTTCCATGGCGAGTTTTGGGGTGGGATGAGCACTCTATACGGGACTGGCCCGACAAACGACCAGCCGTTCGGCATAGGGTGGGATCATCCTGTGTTCCGCCCAAGCCCACATTCACCTTCTCCTCAGACAAACCAGAACATCTATTCGCTCCCCCAGCAGTCGCAATCTCAACAGCAGCACCAGCAGCCGCCGCCGCAACAACACCAACAACAACACCAACAGCAACAACCTCAAGCACAGCAGCAGCCGCAACAGGTGCAGTCATGGCAGCAAACATCAATACAACACCAGCCTGTAGCTCTTGACTCGCAGCAACAGTTCTCTATGCCTAGCCCATATCGGGTGTCGCCGTACCATACACAACAAACTCCTACTTTCGATGCCGCGCAGGCAGCCTCCTCATATCACCCTTACACATACGACCCGCAGACCTTCTATGCAACCCAATCGCAAGTCCAGCAACAGAGTGCGTATGATCAACACCCTGCCAGCGTACCGGCACAGCGAGTGGCTCAAGCTTCTCCTATTGCGACGAACACCCTTGATCGACAACAGCAGTCCTCCTATTTAGTACCAAGCACTCTACAGCTGGGACTCCAGGTATACTTCTCGATTTCCCCCTATCTTTACTAGCAATATCTAACCAATCGGTAACTTTTTTACAGCATGGGGGACCAGCAAGTTTCCCGGGCGACTTCACCACTCGACATTCTCATTCACCATATCACAATACCATTGATCCTCACTTCCTTTCGACACCCGACCAACAACCGCAATCCCAACAACAACAACCGCAGCAGCTTTATGCTATCAATCCTGCAGAGCTAGAACGGCCGACAAGCCTCAAGTCAGTTCCCCTGTCCTGGACTATAAAGCTAGACTTATTCTAACCTTGAATCTAGAACGAGTGAATTACAAATAGCAAATGGGCTTCAAACTGTGGTTCCTCAGACTTCGACAGGACCCGTTGGCCTTGCTCCCGTTGTCTATTCCAATGGTAAAATGATTCATTATCTTTTATTTCATGTTCGCTTCATATTAACCCCCTTTTCTAGGTCTCCAAACCATTCTTCCGAAAGCCCCCACTGCCGCCAAACCTCGGAAAAAGAAAGGAGTAGAGCAAAAAACACAAACACTCTTAAACAAATTCATCACTAAACCAGCCGTGCAGCAACCACTTAATCAAACTCAGAGCGAATCGTCAAGCGATTACAGCAGTGACGAATCAGACGACGACCTCGAGGTAGAAGAACCACCAGCTGAGCCTTCCCCCATCCCCGCGGTACGACCAGATGATGTTGAAGGTAGGACTGGGTATGACACTATTAAAGTGGTTTGGGCTCCACGCAATCGACACGCAAAAGCGGCCGATGTAAGGAATGCCATGATCCAGTTTTCGGACCTTGTTAAGGGGGTGCGAGATACCTGGAAAGCTCGTAGCGAGGCCCTCAAAGCTGCGGAAAATCAGAACCTTGAAGGAAAAATCCCGTCTCTCAAAAAGGAGGTGGTTCTTCAGAGGCGACTGCTAGACTTGATCATTAACAATACCCTGGAGTTTGGTCACCCATCATATGTTAGAAGGTACGTCTTGGACTTTCTCTTTCATCTAGCTTCCCCTATATCCCCCTGTAGAAGCTTGAGTCGACGGATAGCATCTTATGTAGCCATGTTAAGAGGCACCTGGGAGATTCCTGCACCATATATGCCTTGTTTCATCAAGAGCTAGAAGCAATGGTTACCTTCTCAAATAAATGGGAGGGAATCTCATTTGCTGCATACGGCAATTGCCTACATGGCAATTTGCTCAAACTGCCCTAGCCTTTTGAAATAGACATAGGCCTCCAAAGCCCGTGTGCGTCTCCCGGGGACCACATCTGCTGCTGATAATGCTATCATATGATAAACTCCTCCTCTTTACCCCTTTCCTGCTGAAGCCTGCTGCTATGCTGGCTTCTTACAACATGGGGAAATTTTAATCAATACTTAATATAGCATGCTCTTGAATACTTATTTATAATATATAGATTCGGCGAACATCCTAGTATTGTTGCGGCATTCTACTCCTTCTTACTGGACCGTCACACAGCGGCAGATAGTGACGGACCCCTAACGGTCAACATATTAAAGGTATATATGATCCACGTTGAAAAAACCTAAACAGTTCAATCAAGCTAACGATGATAATAGTTAATGGGCAAATTTACGACAATGGACCTTGCAATGCTAGAAAAGACTAAAAATGACAAGATACTTTCTCGGTTCATTAAAAAAGGAGGGAGCACAATCAAGGAGTTAGCTCAATCCATTATGGAGAATGCTACTGCTGCTACTAAGAAGAAAGCTGAAGCTGCCAAATCTTCGGCCAAAGACAGTAGTGCCCCAGGGTCAACGACGTCTCAAGCTACAAAGCAGCGAGAAGCTACAAATAGCTCATCTCAGCCTATTGTCGGTATCAAGCGGGCCAGGGAAGATGACAGTAGCACAACATTGACGAAGCGGGTGGTATCCCCATCATTTGTAAAGGGCACCACCCGAGTCGTGTCTGGAGGCGCCTCGGCCGCAGCAAAGAAAATGACCGCCCCTGCAAAGGACGGCAGATCAACCCCTAATGGCACTTCCCAGGCATCTACAAAACCCAAAGCCAATATAGTCATACCTAAGCCCACGCCGAGTCTTTTCAGCAGCTTGATGTCAGCGTCAAAGAAACCTGGAACATCAAACGCTGCTCGTGCAGCAGCGGCTGCCGCAGCAAAGGATAAGCCGACGTATGTTACCCCTTATACTTAACCTCAATCATAACCATCATACCTAACAAGCTTACTAACCTATAGTAGTGTCGTTACTGAGGTTAAGACGACTCCTCAGCCAGCTCCGCCGCCGGTAGCAAAGCCTGCCTTTTCTTTCTCTGAGACTATGGCCAATTTGAATAAGCCTCGAGAACGTAGTCCATCAAAACAGGAAGAAGACAGTCCACCCGAGACAGATGAGGAACGCAAGAAGCGGCTTCGGAAAGAGGCACGGAGGAAATTGCGAGTCACCTGGAAGCCAGACAGCAGTCTCACAGAAGTGCGTTTATTCACTCATGACCCTGAGGAAGAGATTGGCTACGATGACAGTATGATGCGTGATGTCGGCGATGTCGCTGGGGAGGGTAGGACTCTTAAACTTCACCATGGCTTGGATGACCTTGATGATGAGGACGAGGGCTGGAACGAAGAGAGCTTAGCACCATACACGGCCCTCTCAGCCATCGACTTTAGTGACCTTCTAGAAGAAGACCGAGAGAGGAACTTCATCAAGACCGGCGGTTCAAAGACTGCAGATAGCCCCGAGAAGACGGCGCAAGATCAGCGAGAAGCCACTACTCTCAGCGTTTTCTATACTTCTCCCTCGGATATTCCAAACACCCCCAAAGAGCCTCCGCCACCGGACAATGACGATGAACCATATAGCCCTCTCGTACCGTTTGGAGAACCAGATCACTTTGTCAAGGCCCGGTCACAGCGATACTTTGATTCCCGCTCGCCACCCGTCCAGGCAGCACCTCAGGCTACTCCTGGAGCTCAACCAACCAACGCAGCTCCTCTTGAGATATCGTCCTTATTAAAGATTCTTCAGCAAAATCAGCAGCCTCAACCAGTACAACAACAACAACAGCCGGCTATGCCTCCCAATGTTCCTGATTTACAACAAACGCTCGCCCAATTTACAGCCAATGCACAATCGCTTCAGTTGCAACAGACTTCCCAGTCAGGGCAGGCCCCTAGTGCTCAAGGTCTGGATTTCCAAAAACTGCTGGCAGTTATGAACGCCCAGAAACAAATGCAACAGGCTACCGCTTTCCCCCAAATTACTACCCCTCCAACCCCCAATCTAGCTGCTATTCTCTCTCAGCTTTCGAATCCAGCTAGCCAATTACAACAGCAGCAGCAGCAGCAAAATCAGGGCCAAAATACAGATTCACAGCCATTCAATCAGACCTTTTATGAGGATGGGGATAACAAGCGCAGCTATGAAGGTGATGATTCATATGACCATAACAAACGTGCAAAGATCAAGAAACATGTAAGTACCATCCTATTCTCCCATGCAGGGCGGATGTAAACTAATTAGTACACAGCCCAAAGCTGGCCTGGTCCCTTGTCGGTACTGGAAGGAGGGAAAGTGTATAAAGGGTGACGAATGCACCTTTAGACATGATCCTCTCGACTGATACAATACTCTGTCCTCTTTTTTTTTTTTTTTTTTTTTCTCGACTCGTTCCCAAACACACATTTCTATATGCCCTTTCTTTTGTTCACGGTGTATTTCAATCGTGAGAGGGCCCGTCTCACCGGCATATTCCATTCCATATTTCTAGAAGGATAACGACAACTGGCCCTTCATTCCCTATTTGTTTCCCCAAATGGAGTTTTGGATACTTACGACACGCCTATTCCTACGTTAACCGCCTATCATTTCTCCCGTTTCCTCCCCATGTCCATTGATTTGACTTTGCAAAGCGCTGCTGCTGTTATTCTTTCATATCTGTACAATGCGCTCCCATTTACTGCCATTTGAATTCCACCAATACCCCTGTTTCTTATCTTGAAAATCCACATACACATGTTTAATGTTGTTTCCTTTACTGCATCCCCATTCAAACTATGGCGTCAGGGTATGGAGTGGAGGCGCTGAAACCATTAGAATAGCAGGTGCTCTGATCGGCGTGTGTACTATTATTACTCTATCATTACTACTATAGATGCTAATACGATCGACATCTTGAACAGTCCTGCGCCATGGTAACTAGAGTGAGCCGTGACAAGTCATACTATCAGGCCACAAGTATCTGAAATAGACTGCTTGCCCCCTTCATCTCAAGCAGGCGACATGCCCTTTCCGCGATGGGCCAAGCCATATGCCGAGGAGCGTAGTTAGTATAAATAAAAGAGAAAACGTCGTATTCGGTCCTGTAGAGGGATTTAATCCATTCAAACTGTCAGGTCTATCTATATAAACCTCGCCGTCTACTAGGTCACTGTATGCTTGGGGGTCCACCTGGATGACTTAATCACACATCCTGCAAACTCTGAGCAGCTCAGCCCATATGGCTTAGTTGGTAAAGCGCGTCACTAGTAATGACGAGATCCACGGTTCGAATCCGTGTGTGGGCATTTCTTTTTGCTCTTTTTTTATTTGTGTCATATTTTTTTATTCATTTATTTTTCATGGGCTGGATAGACTGGTTGCTGTGTTTGTTCCGTTATTATTTAACTAAACGGTAAGGCCTAATGTTCGTGGCTTATGGCGTGGTGTTTGCCCGGATACATGTCCGTGACGACGAAAGTTGATACGTGCGGGATGCTTGTCTCTGATCAAGAGATGTTATTTACTGCTCTGACTGTCCGAGCTTGTGTAGCTGCCTAGGTATAATTACGAAGTATATCGCGATATATAATCAATGTGCTACTCCGCTAGCCTATTCAACAGGTTAGACGTCAAGACGCAGAGTGGGCTGGTCTAAAGTAGGTATAACTTACCTGTAGCTAACCATGGTGTCAACCCGATGGTTGCTCGTGCTGAAACTACGTAACTGCACTTTCTCTCCATTTTCAATCTCTTTGGCGTCGCTGTCACCCCATTCCAGAGGCACTTCAGAGTCGGCATCCGCGTAGACGAGCACGTTAAACGTACAGTTCCCGTCAAGCATTGGTAGAAAGGTGACTGAGGCCGTGATTTGACGGAATATTGCCTGAATCTCGTCCTGTATCTCTTTCTCAGACTTTTCAACCGGCCCAGGGTTGCTGGCTTGTGCCCTATAACAGCAGGTCAGTGGATAGATTCCCCAAGCTGAAAGCTCTCACGTCGTGAGGGGTAAAGGTGAAAATTACCCCGGGTTGGCGTTTTCATTATCAGCTGCAGCTTTAGCAGCCTTGTTCTTTGACTGCTTGAATATTTCGACCTTAGGTGACATCTCTCGTTAGCATTGTAAACAGAGGTCTAGCCCCACAGGGCATCCAGTTGCTCACATCAAACTGCCATCTCTCAACGTGCTCTCCGGTGTCCTTGTCCGTAATGACAATAACCAGCTTGGATATCTTGCCTCCCAGCATCCACTTATTCAGTTGTGACATTATCTTCTTTATATATGCCTTGACCTGGTCATCTGCCGAAACTGTTGTGCACAAACGACGGGATTAGTCCATGTACGGGAAACCGGTGCAGAGGAAAGACTTGCGAACCGAGCATGTTGAGGCCATATTTCTTAACTCTAGGGTCTTGTTAGCCAGTCCAAACGAGTATTATGCCAAAAAAAAAGCCAGTCCTACTCACGCTGCAAAGTCGTCTGCTGGGTATACACCGCGTTGGAAACTGGTGGACAACACCCTATCAGCCACGGAAACGGCATGCGGGGAGAGGTGTAGACACACAGTATAGAGTGAATGGAGTATTCAAACTGCACAGCTCAAGCCAATAATCAGTAACCGGCAGCAAAGGGGCGTAACAGGGCCGAGTCTCACGTACAAATTCCGAGACCAGCTTCGCAGAGCCTGGAGGGTGGCAGAGGCCGTTAGAGCTTCATCCGCAAGCCATCTCGAGTACCTGGCCAGTGTTACCTTTCAAAGACAACTTGTGAACCTTCGACTTCTCCTTTTCCGGGGCCATCTTGAAGCAGAACGAGTGTGAGGCGTTGTCCTTGTCTGTTGTTGCGCTGCGTGCTTCCTAAGTAGAGGTTGTTTGTTGACGTTGGTTGATGCCGTCGAGATGTCGATAACCACTTGGCTAACTTAACTAGTTAACCACTTAGTTGTTACAACTACAACAACTGGTTGACCGCCACCAGCTACAGCAGACAAGCCCAGACGAGACCATAGACTAAGAGAATTAGTTACAGAGATCTATCAGTTATATTCACCGCTGTGATCGATGTCCAGCTACAAGGTAAGTTGACTAGTTAGCTACGTGGACCATATCCCGGTTGCAAGTACTCTGCTAACCGCAACCTTACGCCCAGCTCAGCACCAGGACAGCCACGAAGCCAGCTAAAGGCATCCATTTCTCCCTCCCTTGCGCTCTATTTCTCCTCTTAACGGCGTCCTTGCGGCTAATCCGGGGGTCTATTTAGTTTGCATTCTGGAAAACGGCCATCGGCAGCGGAAAATCTAAGCTCCAGGCAGGTACAAAAATTGTATGGAGATGGAGCTGGGAAAGAAATTGAACATACCGCGACCAAAGACAATTCCTGGAACGCAGATACATCTTCAATGCGGATAGGATTCCGATGCGAGGATGTCTGCAACCGGCCAGATGGCTGACTACAGCCACCCTGCGGCGGCCACCGCTCACCTGCCAGCGATTTGCATTACCTACCCCCAGGTATAAACCATCGCCGTTTCCACGCCTGTTCCACCATGCGCCAGTGTTCCAGGCTCGCCAGTCGAATAGACCTCTTTCGCCTGTGGAGGAACGGATAGATGCCATCCCAATTGAACGATACCGCAATTTCTGCATCGTTGCCCACGTTGACCATGGCAAAAGCACCCTTTCAGACCGACTGCTGGAGCTGACGGGCACTATCAAACCTGGAGAGAACAAACAGGTGCTAGACAAGCTGGACGTTGAGCGTGAGAGAGGAATTACGGTCAAGGCGCAGACATGTACGATGCTATACAACTACAAAGGAGAAGACTACCTGCTCCATCTCATCGATACCCCCGGGCATGTCGATTTTCGAACGGAAGTCTCACGGAGTTATGCCAGCTGCGGTGGAGCATTGCTACTTGTTGATGCAAGTCAGGGAGTCCAGGCCCAGACAGTAGCCAATTTCTACCTTGCCTTCGCTCAGGGGTTGACATTGGTACCGGTAATCAATAAGGTCGACCTCCCATCCGCCGATCCAGACCGTGCCTTGGAGCAAATGAGAACCTCATTTGAACTGGACGTGGACAAGGCTGTCAGAGTGTCTGCAAAAACTGGATTGAATGTTCAGGAACTCTTGCCTACTATAGTCGAGAATATCCCTGCGTAAGTTCTCATCCATTGGTGTATATTACAACCAGAATCTTTGACTAACGGCGTCTCTGCTAGCCCGGTAGGTGATGCTACGAAGCCCCCTAGGCTGCTCCTGGTTGATTCTTGGTATTCAAGCTATAAAGGAGTGATCATCCTTACCAGGGTGTTCGATGGAGAGGTCAAGGCTGGCGACCAGCTTGTCTCTTTTGCTACTGGCCTCAAATACACTGTTGGTGAGGTCGGAATCATGTACCCAAATCAAACTCCACAAACTGTCCTAAGAGCCGGGCAGGTAGGCTATATCTATTTTAATCCCGGCATGAAGCGAAGCCAGGAGGCCAAGATTGGCGACACGTTCACAAGGGTCGGTTGCGAGACCCAGGTCGAACCACTGCCAGGATTTGAGGAACCCAAGTCCATGGTGTTCGTTGCGGCTTACCCGGTTGACTCTAACGACTTCCACCACCTCGAAGAGAGTATCAACCAGCTGCTGTTGAACGACAGGAGTGTGACTATGCAAAAGGAATCATCTGAAGCTCTTGGTGCAGGCTTCCGCCTGGGATTCCTCGGGACACTACACTGCTCCGTCTTCGAAGACCGCCTTCGTCAGGAACACGGTGCGAGCATCATCCTCACACCACCAACAGTGCCATGCAAAGTGATATGGAAAGACGGGAAGGAGACAATCTTCTCAAACCCCAGCCACTTCCCTGATGAGGATACCCTTCGCGTCAAGGTCGCTGAACTCCAGGAACCATATGTCCTGGCAACGATAACGTTCCCTGAAGAATATCTCGGTCGTGTTATGGAGCTATGTGAGGCCAACCGTGGTGAACAGGTCAGCATGGAATTCTTCACCGCCACCCAGGTTATCCTCAAGTACCAGCTCCCACTCGCACAACTGGTCGATGACTTCTTCGGTAAACTCAAAGGTTCAACCAAGGGTTACGCCAGCATAGACTACGAGGAGTCTGAGTGGAGGAAAAGCAACGTTGTCAAGCTTCAACTGCTTGTCAACAAGACACCAGTCGATGCTGTCTCGCGCATCGTCCACTCAAGCCAAGCCAACAGACTGGGTCGTCAGTGGGTGACGAAATTCAAAGAACATGTAGAGCGACAGATGTTCGAAGTCATTATTCAGGCTGCCGTTGGGCGTAATGTCCTGGCCAGAGAGACCATCAAACCGTACAGGAAAGACGTCTTAGCAAAACTTCATGCCAGTGATATCACACGGCGGAAGAAACTATTGGAGAAGCAGAAAGAAGGAAGAAAGCGCCTGAAGGCTGTTGGCAACGTCGTTATCGATCATAAAGCCTTTCAGGCCTTTCTTGCGAAGTAGGAAGAGTGTGTAGTTATGCTATTTGGAGCGGATATCATGCTTTTTTTGGAAACCTGTAAGATATATAGACTTGTACTATTTTGATAATAATATCACATATCCCTCTTCACAAGCTTACGCCTGCCGATAAAGAGAAGTGGTGATAATTTATAATCTTGAAAACGCTTTCCACTTGATACTACGCTGTAGCGTAAACTATGCTCTGGGATAAGATAGTAGAAGCTTTACGGGCTCAAGCTGATTCAATTCTACCAACCTGATTCTTTATATCACTATTTTTAATCTCTTCTTTTGAACTGTATCCAGAGTTTGTCCTTTTTCAGATCACCGCTTAGAAACCCTCTGTCACCGGGATATTGGCTTTCATCGAATACCATAGTCCTATAGTTAGTGTACACAGCCGCTACGGCATTTCGTATCACTGGGGGGTGGTCAATGACGGGGCCTATCGTATGGCAAACAGGGGGTTTAGGGCAAGGCTTACATTCCACAGCAAGGTGCTGGCCGATACATGTCCTGCTGCCACCACTAAAGGCAAGGAAGACTCGTCTTTTCCTCCCCGTAGACTGGCCCTGGCAGTCTTTGATGAGCCAGCGGTAAGGATCCCATACGAGAGGGTCATCGAAGTATTCACTGCTACGGTGAATTAAGTGTATATAAGCGCCAACACGGATGCCAGGAGGTAAATTTTTGTATGGACCAACGTCTGAAAGGCAGTGTTTAGGTGTGACTCGAGGGTCCATCCCTGGAGGAGTGTTCCGTAACCTGAGCCCTTCCTGGATAATTGCGTTTAAAAATGGTAGACGCTGCAGGTCTCTTGCTGGCGGTAGCTCATATATGGACGGCTCTTGGTCGAGATCCAAGTGGAACGGGCTTGCTATGGAGAGAAGCTCTCGATGAAGTTCATCCTGATGGGCAGGGTGACGAGAAAGCTGGTAGAGGAGGTAGGTCAATACCAAGGCTAAAAATATAGAAGTGAGCATTTTATGTTGGAGAAAGGTCTCTTGCATGGTATTTGCATACCATTGACATCTGCTGTAGGCCCTGCATGCAAAATTTTATCCAATTAGTGTACAAGCAAAAGTGGTATGAATGCAATCGGATTGTATCATACCTATTTGATCGAGGCATTCGCTGGCTAGCTCCCGAAATTGTACATCACTTGGGGTGAAAGTCTCCTCAACGCCGGCCTCTCTTGCAATGCTACTCCTAAGGGCACTGTAGAGCACAGGGAGGTCTCCTGGCGCCCAAGGCTCACCCAGAGCATAGTGTGATTGCAATCTGGATTCAGCCAGCTTCACGTTCTGGCTTGTCCAGTCCTCACTATGCTGCCGCAGGTTTGAAAGGTCATTTGGAAGCAAACGTATTCCGAAGGCTGTTAATGCCCTGGTGATCCATTTGAATTCACCTAATAAGGTCGGGGCATTGGACATGAAGACGGTGTAATACAGAGTAAGCCACTTCTCCCTATCCTCTGCATCTTCAAGGAGCCTATGGCCCCCTGAAAGCCCAAACACAAAGGCAGACATGAAGTCGATTGAATATGAATAGCATAGTGGGAGTATGTTCACGCTCCCGGAACCAGTCTGTGATGCCTGTCCAAGTAATGGAATCAATCGCTCCAACAACACTGCCTTGAAGATGGCTCGTGTATGAGGAGAAGACTGGACGTAAGCCCTTGTCAGCACCGCTGCCATCCGACCTCTGATATGGCTATGTTGTTTGGCCTCCAGCGCAGAAAAGAGAGCGCGGGTTCTATAGATAAGTCAGCTTGTTGCCCTTCCTTCTTCCTTGTATCACTGCCTGGTTGTGTCTAGGATTTCTCTACTTAAAGTGCGCAAAATAGTTATAGACAGATGCTTTGTCGAAGTTTCTCTTCCCAATTCCATAGGCGCTGTCGAACCCTTCTTTGCAGTTGGTGGCGATCTCAGCCGGACCAAGGCGGATATATGGGCCGCATCTTTCAAAAGCTGCTTGTATAGTTTTGTAGGAGGTGCCGTGCCATCTGTGCCATTTGATCCAAACTCCAGTAATAGGAGCAAGGGGATGTGCGGCAGGGACTTTGGACAATGGCGATAAAAACACCGGGTAGATTATACATCTAAAGATGAGGAGCAAGATGACCGAAATAATAGCCAGTCTGGGCCATTCAGTAAATAATTCTGTAGCACTTAACATCATGATATCCACTAGAAAATGCCTTGAAGGGTGAGATATCTCAGTCGCACTCTTGGTTATCTTTTACCCTCGCCTGAGACAACAAGATGGCCTCTGAGTAAATCATAAAGGGTGCTGGGGGCTGTCTTCTAACACCGGAGGACTGTCCATGGAGAGAAACACCGGAGGCCGGGTTAAGTATCAGCTTGATAACAAAGAGTGGACATTGGGTAATTGACATTAGGTATGAAAAGTCCAAGGAGACACCCTTATGCCTCCCAATATGGGTATAAACGACACGTACGACAGGGAGGGAGTAATACACTGGCCCGCTTGCCATTGCAACAGCAGCAACAGACGTATGATCCGCCAGGTATAAGGAAACCCCTTGAGGGTTCCACCAAATTATATCTAATAGCGGCCACTCAGCCCCCAGTGTGACTCCAGAATATAGGGAGATATACGGCTTCACAAGTCTCATCTCACGACGGAACAGGTGGCCATAACGGCCCAAGGTACACCGTGTCTAGAATGCAGGATCTTATAGAGGATAACTGTAGATTCTGTCTTCCTTGCAGTCATATTTCTGTTCCCATCGCGAACCGCGAAGAGCAGCGAACTGCTCTCGCCTATACCGTCTCACCTCAAGTCGGCCCTTTTAATCGCTGCTTTCAGAATATGGGACACCCTCCTATCGAGGCCTCCACCGGCTGGAGTTGTGCAAAAAGAAGACCAAATTTGGGTATCAAGATGCCCCCGGGGAGCTCATCTTTTGCTCCCCGGGGGCTGCCACAGTGTATCAACGGCAAGGCAGCAAAGGGCAAATCGACCGCAAGCGAGAATAAGACCAGCCGTCTTCCGCAACTGAGAGCTGTCTCCCTTATTATTTCTTTTTGGTCATGAGCTGACTCGGCCTGGACAAGCAGCACATAGTGGCTAATTAATGCAGAGGCCGACGGTATTGTATGGCCTCATCATAGCTGTCTATGATTGAGCAACTAGTACTCCGTAGTTGGGGTGTTTTAGCTATTAGTTATATCTAACTAGCGTCTGAAGATGGTCGCTGGGTTTTAGTTGGAGATGGTAGTTGGTTAACCCCTGAGAGTAACTAACTAGGTTGGATGATCTGGCTAACCGATGCCCTAACAACCCCTATTCAACTCCTGCAGCTGCGCAAGATGATGAAGGCCTTCTGACCAGCCGGTTACGAGAATCTCGCTATATTGTCACTTCTGTTATTTTTTGGATACAAGAATCAGCACAACGGGCCATGAGAAGGCTCGCTGGGCTTGAGCACCGCCCATCCTCGTCGCCAACTCCGCCCATGTCTCCCCCATCGCCTCCCTCTCCATGTCTCTGAAGGGACACATGTGGTACACAAACTTGCGAAGCTGGCTGACGTCCCAGTCCTTGCGCCAGAAATTCCTGTCCTCGACCTCGATGACCTTCTCCTTCTCCCCTACGCAGCTCGTCGGCTCCACCTTGAAGTCGCATGCGCCCTGCGTGAAGAAGCCCATGTCCGTCCAGCTCCTGTTCCACTTCCACCGCTCGACGGAGTGCCATTCACCCTCTGCGAACGGGACGTTGTCCAGCCAGCTTGCTATCTGGTCCGCTACGGGCTTCCACTTAGCCGAGTGCTCTGGCCCGTTGCCCTGGATCTCCCGGCCGTAGTGGTGGTTGATGATCCGGTCCAGCAGCGGCTGGCAGGTCTGCGCATACTCGGGCTCTGAGAAGTGTACCCGGCTGTAGAACCAGATGGCGAGTGTCCCGTTGGGCTTGAGCAGGGACTGGAAGCTCGTCAGGGCCGCATTGCAGTCCATCAGCGGGAACATCAGCGGGCAGACGACCAGGTCGGCGGACGCAGGCGGGAATTTGGCTCCCAGCTCTTCACCTGTTGAGACCGAGTACGTGAACTGTGACGGAGACAGGCCTTCTTGTGCTGAGAGGTAGTGGCTGGCATACTCGAGATGGTTCTCGCTGGGGTCGCTCACAACAACATGGGAGAACTTGCGGGCGAGCTGGACTGATACCTGGCCCGGCCCGGCGCCTACGTCGTGGGCGGTTGAGAACGAGGCTGGCGATGACCCAGCATGGGCGGCGTGGTACTCGTAGATGCGGTTGTAGAACTTATCCCCGTACACTGGGCGTGTGGACAGGTACCCTTCCCAGTAGCCCGGGTTGTTCTCCTTCAGGCCCCATACGCTCTCACTGCCAGTCCTTGGGTCACTGCTGGCTTTCGCAGAAGAGAATCTGACGCTTTGCTGCGCCCTGATTAGCCGCGGTTTTGGGCTGAGCAAGCTGGAGAAAGGAGGTGAGCAGCGAAGCCTGGCAGCTCGGGGCCCTAGCAGCAACGACATTATAACTATTCAATGACTGCCTGTCTTTGGACTGAAAACGGGGGTGGGGGATAAACAGCGCGACGGGATGAGAGTCACACTCGGTGAAATCTCAGGACAGACGGCGTTTGCTTATATATAATTACCTTTGGTGCGTCATCAACCTGCATAGTGGTCATCATATGTGTTCCATGCCAGGATTTCTGAGGCCCCAGCCTGTGAGGGAGACTCGCTGTGGCGTTCCCTAGGTAGTCTATCAAAGCCCACGGACGCCCGCTGGGTAGATATTTGGCTGGCTGAAGAACGCCTCCAAAGTGAAAATACCAGAAGCCATAGTCATGGAGTGCAGAGTATAGAGAGAGAAATGAATTGAATGAACTGTCCTACAATGATTTATGGAGAACGTCAGTACTTCGCCCTTTGAGATGCTGGATAGTTAACTATGGAGTACCGCCGGCCACATGCAGCTTCATGATGGTAGTCTGTCAGCCAGTGGCCAGTTGTGATACCATTGCAGAGATACACAAAAGCAAGGGTGAAATGGAACATTCGGCACTCACCTTGCTAGACTGCATAATATCGAGGATCGTGCCCGAACACCATGCACGGTGTCTCCTCTCACAAACTAGCTAGTCGATCACACCGCGCTCTGTTGTATTTGCCCAGCTGCTAGACCAGGAATGCACCCCGTCAAAGTCACGACAGGTCCGTATCATGTTCCAACCGTCCGAGTTCCCATTCTTGTCGATTGCTTCGAGGTTGGTGTCTGCCGCACACATGATGGCCTGCCGCAGGTAGTCGGCACAGTGGCCCATATGGCTGGGACTCACCAGCGTTGTCTGGCCGAGAAAGGGGTCGGGAGGGCGGCCTTCTTTGGCAGCCTGGTTCCGGTCAAGGAGGATATGGTAGGCCATCCATATCGTGTGCTAGGGGTCTTTTGTCAGCTTGAAGCTACTAACTAGTAGCTATTGATCGAAGGGCCTGGAAAGCCACGGACCAGACAGTGCAGCTCGTGGAAGACGGCTACCAGGGAAGTATAGGGGGCCAGCTCGGGATGATGCACAAAACCGCGTCCCACTGTGCTCACACTTGTCAGAATCCGTCCACTGTAGAGCTAAAGGGGCAGCCAAGGGGAACTCTTACTCGGCATCAGGCTGTTCCATGCTTCCTCTGACTCCTTGGTGGGAATCTGCGTGAATGTGTGGTTGCGATGCCATGGCCCCTGAACTGTGCCTGAGGGGACTGCCAATAGTTAATAGATGAGTAACTATCAGCATGGCCACTAGGCCAATATTCGACTGAGAGGTAGGTGTATTCCTCACCTAGATATCCGTCCAGGCCGATGTGTCGAGAGGACGGCCAGCTGGTCCCAATGAACAGGCCCAGGGTGAGCGCAATGATAGATATCACGGCCGTGTAGACAGTGATCTCCATCACTCTTCTGGCTCCCCAGCGTCTCTGACTCTGGATAAGCTCTGGGTATATATCTTCGGCTTCATCTGAAACGAGTCGCTCATACTCTCTCCCTTTCTTTTTCTCTGCGGTAATCATCTTTGCAGTCGTGTGTTCGTGAAGTTATATTGCATAGTTCAACCCTCACTTCTCGAGAGCACGACCTGGCAGCCCTGCTATATAGAGAGCTTCTCCCCTATTGAGGTCTATATCCGTCGCGGACTCCATCCAAGTAGATTTCGTCCGGCCCATGGTTCGCCATGCGAGACGTTGGCCAGTTGCAGAACTGTGGAATCCGCTGGCCGGTGGAAAGCCAGTCAGAATCCCAGAGCTTGTTATTTAGTGAGGCGTTAGCTCCGCGAGCAAAAGGCTTGATAGACCGTGAAGATAACAAGCCAGCGGCCTACTGGATGCTTGTTGTCCTCGCTTTGTTCTACTGTGGCCTCTGAGATATCAATAATAGCTTGTGAGTGGAAGCACTCGTACGGAGTATGTTCGTAACTATAACTAGATCGCCGCTTTCGTCTTGGTATCCGTCAAGCAGATAATGAACAAACCGCCCCAGCTGATGACGACGACGTCAGAGCTAGTTAAATGTGTTTATTCAGTACAGCCCGTGGTGGATCAAAGAGAGGGAAAGTCATCACTAGTTGTATGTATATAATATATATAGAAAATATTAGATGGCTAGTTAAGGGCCAAAAGTTCTATGTCTGTGGAATGGAGGTACTATCTGGTTACACTTCAATAGAAGACCACAGGAAGTAACATGCTTAATACAACTTCCAGCCAGCGTCTATAATATCGTCTAGCACCGAAGCGATAGCGATAGACTCATCACCAGAGCAAAACATGCCGCAAACATCTCCGCCGGAGTCTGCTGTCCGTGACATTTCCTTAGCTATAGGGGCACCCCTTATGCCCTCAGACAGTCGCCCTCCCACGGGCCTAAAGGTGCTGTATAATTTCTCGGCCAGATAGGAACATTCCCCGGGATATCCGCCCTTCCCATGGATGTTAGAGATACGCAGGCCTTGACAGTGAAGGAAAACAAGGCCGGTCGACATCCCATCGCACGAACACCAGGTGCCGTTGGGGACATTATCTGACCTAACCAACCATTTGGGCGAAGCGGCTTGAAAATACCCGCTTTTTGAGAAACGCAGTGATGAGGCCAAGTCAACCATGGCAATGCTTAGTCTCGGCCATCGCTCGACAACTGTTCCAATCTTGGACCCATTCGTGGTGTCAGGGTGGTATATGTCTTGACAGTCTTGTGCCTGACTTGCGATGGTGACAGCCAGGCGGCCGGTCGAATGACGCAGCCGTACACCACAGCTCGTACCAAGTTCAGGCATCGAAGGCGTGGCGGAGGAGTCAGGATGACCTGCGGCGATGCGAACTCCGGGCCGCAGAACCCCTGGCCCCTCACGCAGATAGTCCGTCCGGTCCTGCAAAGGAGATATCACTGCGGAGAGTCGAGGGTCGACGCGCCGTATTAACTCAAGATTCTGGGGTTCATCCCAGAACCTGTCGGCTGAATGATGATATGTCGTAGTTTTTCCCGCAACGCGGCCAGGCAGCGAGTGTCTCTTGTAGGATCTGCCATCGTTAGTGTGTAACTCAATAAAACAGTAGAGTCCGAACCAGTTTATAGCCTTGACATTACACAGCCCAGCCAGGGATTTGAGTATGAGATCTGTCTCTCTCCTCGTAGGCGCCATCCACCTCTTCACCAGAACTGGAGATGGATCTGGTACCCGGGGTGATGCATAGGCCGTGTTCACATTAAAGCCGGTGCAGAGAGGCGCATCTGGGACAAATAACGCTGCAATGCCGGCAATGGTGAGAGTTAGAGGCCCTGGAGGTGTATCAGTAATGACTATGATCAGAGGATACTCAAAGCCTACCTCCTTTGCGTGATAGTGACAGAGAACCCATAGCTGCTGTTCTCGCCTCAGATGTTTGGACTCAGCCGTTTCTTCACACCATAACGAGAAGTCAGCCACGTCGTTTATGTGCTGAGAGCCGTAGGTGGGCATAAGTGTCTTCCACTGGGGCGAGACTGGCATCGCCGCCCCGTTACGTACTGGCCCAGCATGTTCCTCGTTTGGTATATGGGTATATCTCTCATAGTCAACGTACGGCAGCTGTGCGCGCATGGCCGTGATGCCGGGAGATGCTCGCACAGCTGTCATATTGGAGCTCTATCAAAACGACTGGGACAAAAGAATAAGGCCTAACTAGATGGTCAGCAGGTTGAAGCTATCTATCTGACAAGCTTCAGTGGACGAGTAGTAGTAGATGTTTCTTCTATGGATAGCCTGAAGCCGTCTTCTATATGGCAAAATATTTCATGTTTAACGGCGTCATAGTTGAGCGGCAACTCGATAACGTTCGCCCCATGGGTTTCTTTGCTATTGCGGAAGTTTAGTTGGGATGTTCGTTCTGCGTTTAATTCGATCAGTTTAAATACCCCTAGTCACGAGCTAGACGGTGAATAATGAACAGTGAGTGAGATCTCGGTGATTTTCAGTGGAGTGGAAGAAAAGTTGAGTTAGTTATATACAGTGAATGTTCTATGATAAGGAACTTAACTATACATCTTACGACGGGTAACTAAGGTGTCCAGGGACCACTCAAAGTCACTCAAGGCATAGAACCAACCCCGAACCAGTGGCAGAAGAAGTTGTTTGGATCTTCCCTGGCTTTGATATCCCGTAGGCGAGTGATATTTGAGCCGTATATCTCTGCCGGATCCTCATCACCATGGGCAAAATTAATATACCTAAACAGAGAGTATATTGGTCAGTCATTATTAACCGGCAGCAAAGAGAGATTGAAGACACACATAGCCGGGGCCTTGAGACCATCAGTGGACTGTAGTAGACGTCGAACACGCCGGCCTAGCGACAGGGCCTCCTCTTCCAGCTTCTTGTCGGTAAACCAAGGAATTACAATCGCGTTGATAGCGACGTTGCTTCGCCATGGGAACGAGGACGAATGATCAGGGACAGATCGGACCTTGTCAAGGCAATACGCCTCCATCAAAACCACACTGCTGCCAGTGCCGCTCAGAGCAGCCCACGACACAAACTCGTCCCAGACCTTTATCCAAGTTTCGGGCACGATGGAAGAAAGGCCAACGCCAAACGAAGGTTTGTAGCCGCCACGGATGCAGAATGCCGCAGCTTTGTCATTCCATCTGGGGTAATGCAGCACTCCGGTGGTATCGGCTATGGGACCAATGTCAATCACGGAGGCAAAGGCTGCGCGCCCTTCGGCTTCGGTGCCGTAATACCAAGGTGCAACAGCCACCAGTGGACTGTAGTCCGGGGCCCCAGATGTAAGGAAGTAGAAGAATACGCTCATCTTCGGCGTCAAGGTGAGTTCGCTGACTGCTCTGAGAACGGGCTCGACCTTGTCTGCTGGATAAACAAGGGCACCGAGCCAGGCGTACTGGCCCGAGGCCTCGACTGGATACGCCTTCATCACGACCGAAGTGACTATCCCAAGGTTGGGAGCAGCGCCGCGGAGGCCCCAGAAGAGATCAGGATCACTCTCAGCAGTGACAGTCTTGAGGGTACCGGTTCCAGACACGACGGTTAGGGATAAGATATTGTCGACCGCAAGGCCCTGTAGGCCAGTCAAGAAGCCGTAGCCGCCGCCCAGAGCAGCACCAAGTGCGCCAACAGAGTTACAATTTCCTGTAATGACGAGCGACCCTTTTTGCGAAGCGGCCTCCATAACTTCGGAGGTTAGAGCACCACCTTCAATGATAACCTCTGTCCCATCGCGGTTGAAAGTGACAGTGTTTAGCTTTCTAAGGCTAATGATGATCCCGTCGGGGCCCAGGTTCAGGGTGCTGGACCACCCGTGTCCTCCGGACTGGGCCAGGAAAGGCACTCCATGGGAGATACAGTGTTGAACCTTCAGATAGTCAGTGGATTATCTTCTTGGTTGACACGGCAGGATGAAAGTGCTAAGTCGGGGAATGGAACATACAATTACGGCTACATCCTGCTCAGAGGCAGGAGACACAACCGCCTTGGGGATGGGAGAGTTGTATGCGCTCCATCGAGCATATTCCTCCCAGTCTGGGTCGGTGGTAGCCGTAATCAAGGCCGAGCTGGATAACTTCGGCCTTAGTTCTTTATTTAGCGAGGAAATGGCTGCATCCGACGCAGCATATCCAGAAGAGGCCATGGATGTTAGTTGGAGGAGGGGAGTATTTTCGAGGATATATTCAGATACTGAAATTCGTATCCTTCATCTTCAGCCCCAGGGCGAGCACGGCTGCTATATATTCCCCCGCAGAATTGCCGATGATCCTTCGAGTGGAGCGATCCTATCCTTATCCAGCTGTTAAGCCACTAGTTAATCATCGCTTCAGCCACAATTATTTGTAGCTTGAATGTATAATGGGAGTCCCTGAAGGGTGTTACTGCTGGATCATAGGTAGTAGTACCTATGCCAGTCATGTCAACATCATCCGCAGAACAGGTTTAATTTATGATGAGCATGGTATGGAGTATTCAGATAGCGTTCCCAACTTAGGGGAAAAGTGTTAACTATAAGCTAGCTAGTAATCAGTCTAGCTGGGTATAAAACTTCGACATAAACAGTGATCGACCCGGGAGTGGATGTGCAAATGTGTGACTGAATCCTCAGCTGGTATGGCCAAAACTTCTCCCCTAGTGCCATCCGCTTCACGGTATCAGAAACGCGACATTCAGCCTCAACATGGACTATGTATGCTATTGTCGGCGGAAGTGAGGCAGGCTATTTATAATATGATGCCCTCGTCCTTCGTGCTTAAGCCACTCCTAAAATATAATTAGATGTTGATACGGATGACATGTTATTAGCCAATGCTCATCAGTTCTCCCACGATTGGCTTCGGCTTTGGACGAGTGATACAGACAAAAAAACACATCGTGTGTTTTAGTCTCCTCTCGACCAGATCTCTCCCTTGCTTGGCACAAATGCCATCGACCACGGCGGGCTGAAGCACGTTTAGTACGAACTGTGTCACTGGCTCGATATCCAATGAACGCATGGCCACAGAGGGTTCCCATCGCCCGCGAGCCCGGTTAGCAACATCTTCAATCCTGGGCTCTTTCGCCGTTGCAGAAGGTGATTATTCCAATCCGTTCATGGGCTGTCTCCTTGGCGCATTTGCAGGGAAAGGTGGGGGGATTTGGATGTGCGGCTGAGGCATTCAGCCTCGCCAATCTCAGGCTGAAGATGGAGAATCTGGATGGTCTCGCCGAACGTGCCGACTCCGAAGATGACGGAAGGAATGGTTGCTTGGCTTTGCAAATTTGTTGAGGCGGGAGGCCATGTTCACGATAGTCCAGACGATTTGGGGTTGACTGGAAAGCTGAAGTCGCTGACAGAGAGTCAATGAGTGACGTAGCTCCAGATTGCCTGCTGTTTCGTCGTAGCTACGGGCGGCTAGCAGGGCGAGGCTTGGAGGTCGGCAGTTATGCTTTTGGGCGGCTAAATTTAATTAGCGAACTCCTTGGCTTTCGGATTAGTCATCGCTTATATAAGCTTACGGTCGGGCGGCTAATAAACTCTCGGAAGCTCGAGGGAACGTCACGTGACCTGAGCTCCTGAGCACAACGGAGCAGCAAACGAATGCCTCGACGTCTAGCTAAACACTGGAAAGGCAGATAAATAGGCGTAGAAATGAATGATGATGATGGGCTGCGAGACAGCAGGCTATCTTACGGCTATTTATCTATGGAATGGTGCTCATCGATCGGCCGACAGGTGCCTAAGCGAAATGATGGAGGAGGTGGCGGCGGCGGCGCATCCTATATCCGATACGCTGGCCAAACGCCGGCTCCAACATAAACGCAACCAACGAATAGGATGAGTCAGCTTAGTAATAATTTTCTGCGGCACGGCGGCAAATAGTAAATAACGACGTCATTGACTGTATTGTATTTCGCTATTCTTCCTTTTCAACGGCCAAAGGAAGAGGACACACATCAGGCAGCGGTTTTCTCTTTGTTCTACCCATGACATCAAAGCAACACAATCAATATGAGAGATATAAATAGCTATATAATGATGGGTTACTCCAAAAACTAGTTGGACATCCTCGACACGCTTTACTCTGACAGACAGACTTCTTAGCTTGTTGTCAGAAAACTTCAGCTCTGCCTACCATTAGTGTGGGCTCACTCCTTTTGGTGTAGTGGCAGACTTTGACACTTGTCAAATTCTGCAATGTATTCCTCACCTCTGAGCTTCAACTTTTCCGGATAACCCCTACAGCTACCAGGATACATCCTTGCAATTGTGATTTGATTCTACAGCCTGTGACTACGTCCAAAAATGGTTGGGATTCCCCGCAGACCTGAAGCGTCAGATAATTCTGGCTATGGCAGTAGTAAGTATGCCATAGCTTGTCCTCCGGTATACCATAGTTAAACTAACAAATATCCAGTACCATCCAGGGGCGTTACAACCACGATAGAGCACTGGTTTGCAAGCAAAGAACCCTTTCGAATCGCAGCAGGCAGCCAACTTCCCATGCCTTTGCGCTCAAAACGGATCCGTGCCAACATTGAGTGGAAAGAGATATACGAAAGAGATATTCATCCAGGAATTTCTAAAATATTAACGAAGTATGGGCTTTCCTTTGGTGTGGACAGGCTAGACCGCCTCCAACCCTGGGATGACTCTTACGAAACAAAGGATGTCATCACGATAACCACACACGACGCAGGTCCGAGAAAAGACTGGCAAGATGCAGCTGATACAGTACTAGCTATGGTCAATGAGAAGGTTCCCACCCACGTGTCGCATCCCATTCAAGTTGAAATAATCAACGTTGATAAGATTTACAACGATGTATCCAGTCCGTTGCCGAATGACCGATCCATTGTTGGCCCGCTCGAACAAGTCAAAGACCGGATTGTGGAAGAAGTCTTAGCATTCATGAAGGGTGCATGGTCATCTATTGCATTTCATATGCGTCACCGCCGAGACAACTTCGATGAACCTATGAAACCTACCATCCTCGTAATATGTCGCCCTCATTCTATATGTGACTTTGCTGAGGCCGAAGATCGTCTTCTTGATATCTTAAACGAATTAGATATTTCAGTGTACTTGGAGTTCCTTCCAGGGAGAGTTTTTGCAAATCCAGGACCGAGGCCAACACCTATGTACACTCATGTGGAAGATCTCCCCGAAACGCCGACAAATGGGAGTTCAATCGGCATCAAGGGAAATGAAATAAGCGCTGGAACATTAGGGGGCTGGCTTATACTCAATCTCCCAAAAGAACAACGACAAATAAAATGCGCCCTAACTTGCTATCATGTCATTAGAGGTGATGATAGTAGTGCCACGGACTATACTGATACTCATGGTGTTCATTTGAATAACACTCGCGGACAACTAACCATCCAATATCCTGCCACCATAGATGCAAGAGCTGCTCTCGACAATTTAGACAAACTGTGCCATAATTTCCCGGGTGATCAGCACTTAGAAAAGCAGAGAAATATGGTTTCAGGCCTCGTGTTAGGACCTGGTATTGGGAAAGTCGTCCTTGCATCCGGAAGTCAAGTTCGCAATAACCACCGGGTTGACTGGGCTCTCATAGAAAGTCCAGAAACATTCTCAAAAAATAATACCCCTTCTATTCGCCAAGGCAACTTCATGTCACCACCTGCTGGTCATAGGTATGCTCCGCATCCTGACACCAAGATAAGACAATTTGACTACATCCATGAAGGTGATTGGGTTGTTAAGCTTGGGAGATCTACTTTGACATCTGGGATCATCAATGGCATGAAAAGAGTTGAACGGTGCCCCAACTTTGTTACGGAGGAAATCGAGGTTATGTCTCACTACGTTGATGTTGCGGTAGACGGTGATAGCGGAGCTTTTGTTGTCAACGAGCATGGCCATTTAGTTGGTATGTTATATGCAGTAGCAAAGGCAGTCACTTCCTTCAACACTGCTTATATTACTCCCTTCGATGCAATCCAAGCCCACATCAAGGAAATTACAGATGGAGGTTTTCTCTCATTCGATTAGTTAAAGACGAGCCGATGTTCCGTGTCAACCTGCAAGGGATACGATGCAGTGGTGAGCTTGAGCTCGTGTAAATAATATGCAGAGATTTTGAGCTCTAAAATGTGGTTAGAGATGACTAAGCTACGTATTTTGACGGCGGCTAAGTGCCTTATTATGTCACCTAGCCAATCCGCCTTTTATAGTGTGAGTCTTACAAATAGGATGACATAATCAGGCATCTTGCGTGGTTAGCTCGTCTAAAATGGGCATTCAACTGTCGCTGGGCGTATATCTGGCCCGTCCAACTCATGCCGGGACGAAGAGACAAGGGTGAAGAACAAGATGCCTCGAGCTGTGAAAGGTACGCGGACGGGAGACAAGCTGGACAGACAAGGGCCACAGGATGCTCTAGTTAAATACCCGGCTAACCTCTCTGATAGGCGTTTTGATCGAGTGCGACCCGTCTGTAAAAGCCATCATACTAAAGTATGACAGGCTCCAGAATAATGAGTATATCGTCGAAGACTTAGAGGGTGACGATCGGTACCTGGTTGTCAAGGAGAGCCAGCTTGCGAGCCTTAAGATTCGATTGGCAAAGGCATGGGTTTCACTGCAAACGGTATATACGCGAAGATAACTAACCATGAGAACGACTGCAGGAGCTCGACGGAAAACTTATGCAACCAGAAGAATCCGAGTCCGAGTAACTGCCATTCCTCCACGGTCTTGCGTACGATACACTCGAACCCTTTACTGCACCCAGGCTGGTTCCTATCAAACAATGTGTCCGTTCTCTGCAGCCACCAAGTGACAGAGACCATGACTACTCAACGTAACTTGAACAATCCGCCAAAAACACCTGAATAGTCATATCTTATAAGAAAAAACAACACCTCGCCGGTTGGCGCATCCCGCGACTGTTATCTGTGGTGCTAGAAATATGTCGGGACTAGCAGCGTATACGGACAGGCAGGCAGAGACTGTTGAGGAAGGGCTTCCAGGTGTTATAAGTAAAATATAGACCCAGCAAGGGAAAGGCGACAATAGCGGCCTGATTGTTTTCACATCCACCTTAGTCTACTCGGGTTGCTGGAACAGTGAAATATTGAAACAGTTGCCTTGGTGTATGCTGGCAGCTTCGTTGATAAACGGCGATTCTGAGCCGAGGCCCACGGCTGCTGAGCTCCTCCCGCGTCTCCGTTTGCCGCGCTGCTTCACATGGACGGATCGTACAAGGCACAGTGATACAAGAAAAAGGACATGTAGCTATGCAGCTATCATATCACACATACGTCTCTCTACCAGTCTCTCTTTACTCCGGTCTCAGTGGGTAGAAACGAACTTATCGTCGCCATGGCTCCCAACTACTCTCCCAAACACTTTCTCGTCACCTTTCCAGTCGAATATGTCGCCCATGTCGAAATCAACCGAGCGGACAAGCTCAACTCCTTCTTTGAAGCGTACGGCTTTGTGTTTTTCCCCTGGTGACTCTACAAGAACCTGCTAACGACGTTGGGTACAGGATGTGGCTAGAACTCCGTGACATATTCGGTCAGCTATCTCACGACCCCAACGTACGAGCCGTTGTCCTCTCCGGCGCTGGCTCCCGCGCATTTACTGCGGGACTGGACGTCAAGGCTGCATCGAAAAGTCTCCTTGGACCCAAGCCAGATGGTGATGCCGCACGTCATGCTGCCATATTCCGCCGTCACATTGCCTCCTTCCAGGAATGCATTACTGCGGTAGAGAAGTGCGAGAAGCCAGTCATTGCGGCGATGCATGGGATAAATTTTGGACTTGGGATTGATCTCTCAGCTGCCACGGACATTCGATACTGTGCGGCTGATACGAAGTTCTCCGTCAAGGAGGTCGATATTGGTCTTGCAGCGGATATTGGTACCTTGTCCCGACTTCCAAAGGCTGTTGGAAGCTATAGTTGGGTTAAAGAAGTTTGCTTGACGGCCAGGGTTTTTGATGCCAAAGAGGCAAAGGAGGTCGGATATGTCAGTGCTGTGTTCGATAACAAAGAGGTTATGATTGAAAAGGCATTAGCCACTGCAAAGTTGATTGCTTCCAAGAGCCCTGTTGCTGTCCAGGGTACCAAGGAGCTACTTAACTGGTCAATTGACCATTCGATTCAGGATGGTATGTAATTCTCTCTTCCCCCATGCAAAGCAATTTTGAGATGATGTGGCTAACTATTACTGGCAGGCTTAAGATATACAGGGGTGTGGAATAGCGCAGCCCTTCAGACCAGCGATATAACAACTGCGCTTCTATCGGGCTTGGAGAAACGAACTCCTACGTTTGAGAAGCTATGAGAGTAATATAGGTTCTTGCTCCAGTTCAAAGTGAAAGATTAGATCAGTACATAATGAACCGGGATTATATAGAAGGCATTAATTTAATTTCCAAGCTAAACGCTATAACAAAAAACCTCGCTACCTTTTACATATTTAAAGCAGTCTACGCGCGAATGAATGCCTATCTAGAAGCTACCGCCATTTCATCCATGACCTGCTTTACACAGGCCCTTTTCCGGACTCTGGAGTAGTACCCCATGAGCAGAGGGAATTTTCCCTCGACCACCTTACTTCCATCTTTGGCTTCCACGATCTCTCTAAGTACAGACCAAAAAGCGCAGTCGTCAACTCCAAACAATTTTCCGTTGATGTATAATTTGCCGTGGATTAAGGAATTGAAGGCAGATAGCTTCGCTGCAACCTGCTCAACGTCGCTATCAGAAGATGTTGTCCATGCTTCATACAATTCGTCAACAGCATTCAGCCTCTCCTCCAGTGTCAAGCCATCCACTTTCATATCAGGATCGGGCGCGATATCGGCAATACGGCAATAGGCAGTTTCGGCAATGTATTGAAGAATTGCCATGCTTCCAGTTTCGACATGAGATCCATCTGAGTCAACTAGCAGGGAGGGCTCTCCCTTCGGTGCCGGCGAGGCCTTGGTGTCAGCTTCGTCATTCGACGGGGGGTCCTTAACGCCTCGTATTTCATATCGAATTCCGTTCTCTGTCAATGCAAGGCGTATCCGTAGGTCTGTCGGCTTGTCACAAGCTCCAGGCAAGAATGTCAGAGAAGGAGTGGTCACAAAATTGACGACATCGAAACCGCGTCCATAATTCGCATCCCAATCAAAGTCTGACTGATGGTTCTCCTGACCAAAGGCACGAATCATGCGCTCCGTCTCAGGAGAATCTCCATGTACAATTTTGCCGGCCTTTCCTTTCTTCTTTGACAGGGCGCCTTGGCCCCAGATAGTGTATGATATGGGATTGACGAACGTTCCAATGTGTCTGAAAGTCAGGGAAATCCGTTCTCCATTAAACGCCTTTTCTTCTTTGGATTTTTCCTTTTCCGGTCTTTTGTCTGGCCGAATACCATGGAGCCATTCCATGTTCGATTTCTCCCCAAGAATGAAAAGCGAGTTATGGGGCATGGGAACACGTTGCGTTTGCCTGGAATTTTCGGGTGAAGAATGGGTAGATTTCTTTGCATCGGCCTTGGTGCGCAGTGTCATTGTCCTCAGCGCTCCCAAGCTGACATTACAGATGTTAGATCCCCTGACAATATCAAGCGTCTTGTCGGAGTGCTCAGAGATGCGATCTTCGCCATCCCGATACAGCTGTATCAGGGCATGGTTTAACGGATGGCCTAGCTCCTTCTCGACAACCACCCTTATTTTGTCAACAGTCTTGCTGAATGGAGACAACGGCGGGGATTCATCTGCCGGGTGTCTGTATATTGGTATTGACCCGTCTTGGGCAACATCACCCTGAACAGCGACCAATCTGGGAACTTGTCCCGACATATGGTACATCTTTTGCCATTCGACCTCGTCCCGCAGCCGCTGGAAAGAGTCAGCCGGGATGGCAAGATCGTAGAGGATGCGGGAGTCGCCGCTTGCAATGCGGTCTCCCGGGGTACAGACAAGAGGCTGAGATAGTTTTTGTTTTTGAGATGGTGATGGCGATTCGATGGATTGGTCGCCGTCCTGTGGTTTCCTTGCATCTTTCTCCTCGGGAGGATCGACTGGCCGCTGGCTTGTCTCAAGGATATCTTGCGGCTTGTCAGCACCCCCTTCGATGAAGTGGTGTGTGGCAATTTGGCCGTCGGGATTCTGGTAGTTGGGTGAGGAGAGTCCAAGCGTACCTATTTTCTCCTCGATTCCAGTGAGAAGTGACGAGTCTGCCCGCTCCAGGACGGGTGAAGCAGCAGCAAAGTCCTGACCCTCCATCAGTTCACGACTCGTTATTCCATTGGCACCCATGATATCAGCCATGCGCCTCATCGCCTCCCGATGGCGCAAGGAGCTCCGATATCCCAGACAATCTTCAATCAGGGTGACGGTGAGACCGTGACGGACGGCATCGACTGCGGTCGCATACACGGAGGCATTGGAGAGCGAGCCGCAGACAAAAATCTCGGTGACAAATCGAGAACGGAGGGAGAGAAGCAGGCCCTGGGTCTCAAAAGCCGAGTACTCTGACTTGACAAGAACCGTGTCCTCGTTGGGATCTATGGCAGCGAGGATGGGGGCAGGAAAGTGGAATCCGGAGGAGTTTGGTAGGCAGCATCGCCGTCCGGCACAGGCTTTGTCTGAGACCGAGAGGAAGGCTTCGGGGTCGTCTGAGAACAAAGATTGCCGAGCCTGCTCTGCTGCTTGTTTCTTCTTAGACAATCCTTTGGGCGCGGGCGTGCTGGTAACAGGCGGTCCATCCTCCAACACAACGGTATCCCCTCCTAGACCTTCGTTGACCACGGGCCGGCGCCCTTCAAACACACTCTGCACCCAGATAACCTCTCCAGAGGCGCGGAAAATTCGAGCGAGGTCCGGAATGAGCGACAGAAAATCAGCGGTGTTGGAGACAAACAGATTCCCGTGTTGCCTGACGAAGTCGTTCTGCAGGTCGAGGACGAGCAGAGCTTGCTGAGTGGCGATGTGGGGAGCTGAAGAGAGAAGTTTTGAGGCCAGCATCGTCGTCGTGGCCCGTCTCCTGCCTCCGTTATTGCTTTGGTTCACCCAGCCGGCACTGTTTGCTGTACTTCGATGTATGTATGAATCCTTTCTTCAGGTCAGTTTTAGTATTCACTTGACGAAGAGCGAGGATAAGAACAAGGGGGTGTGGTTTGGTTGGTTAGAAAACCAGTAGGGAGGGCGTGGGGGCAAGGCACCATCCACCCGTTAACGATCCATCTATCCATGCCAGGGTGGATTGAGATGGCCTTGGTACCGCAGCTAGCTGAACGTGCGGCCGCGCTACGCATCACAACCGAGACGACCGTTCAAGCCCGCGCGGCTGCATCTGCTGGCTAGCCAGCCCTGGGCAAGATGGGCACTTGCTCACGCAGCGCGCGGTCCCCAGACCATGGCGGGCGCCAGGCTCCTGCGGGTAGGTTAGGGCGCACGCAAGGTCCTTCGACCAGGGTGCTGCGGGAGAGTGATCGATGTACCTCGCAGTAGTACTTAAGTGTAGTATAAGGCCGTCGTAGAGTAGTACCGAGTCTCGCTCTGCACCCGGCGAGAGGAACCCTGCAACTCACGCTCTGCAAGTTGGCTTGTCAGATGCCGGCAGCCACTTTAAAGTTGGTTAGAGTTTAGTGCGGACGGGAGGCTCCCGTGGTCACGGGGTCTGCACGGGCGTCTCTAGTACTTAAAGACGGATGCATACGGGGGGACGGGGGGCCGGGCCTGCGACCGTACGATGGCGGACCGTGATAGATGGGCCATAGGCTGCGTGTTGAGGAGTCCTCTCTCTCGCTAGGCCCGGCCGACCGCTTACGCGAGGCTTCTCTTACTTAGGACTCGGGACTGTTTAAGAGGGAGAAGCCAGCCCAGTGCCTGAGGTAAGCAGATAAAATACAGAGGGTCGCTTAGTAAGTAAAGCTTTTCCTGTTGTCCAATGATACCTCGGTATTTCCTGATTATATAATAATGATGCCACCTCTTGGTACGTTTTTTATGTATAAGTGCTCCGTACTCCGTAAAGTATAAGTTGGTTAGGTACTTGCAATAAACCACGAGTGTCCTCATGAATATTGAATATCCATCAAAAAGCCTTGTGTCATGCCTGTGCTAGCACCGTACCTGTGCACAACATGGGGACCATCCATTCGCTTGTGACCATTCGGTAAGGACTGTCTGGATCTCCACCGGATGGACTCCTTTTTAACACAGTGGGGAAAAGCAGGCCAGGCGGCCCAGGTCGGTGAACCTGTATGCGCATGCATGCATGCATGTTTGCATGTTACTCTACAACTAAGTACTACTTACAACGGAGTATACATACTCCAACCAAGAACGAAGAGCAGCAAACGTCACTACAGCATGCAGTATGACATAAGTTCTTAGTCATCTCACGTGTTATCGGAGAATTATTAATCCATGTCACCGATATCGGCTGCGCTATTCCCTATCAGGCATGGCGCCACGGCCCAAGCTCCCCCTCTCCTGGCCAATCAAAAACCCGCAAAAAGAAACAAAGGACCAGCCGAGGTTTTTTTTTCCCTCTTCCTCTTCCTGTCTTTTTTTTGACTCATCCCGGGCGAAGGACAAGAAAAAAAAAAAGGTTTCCCTATTCATCCATTTAAATATCAACTTCGCCAACCTCCAACTCCAGCGTCAAACTCCAGCGTCAAACTCCAGCTCCAGCTTCAGCTTCGTCGTCTCCTCTCCGCACAGTATCACGAACAATGGCTGCCCGTCCCTTGGCCAGGGCTGTTGCCCGTCACCTATCCCAGTCAGCTTCTGCCGTCTCTCGGAGGTCGTTTGTTGCGGCTGCAAGCTCTCGTCCAACCCTGGTCGCTGCCGGCAGAGCTGCCATTGCCTCCCCGGTCACGCAGCAAATCCGAGGTGTCAAGACCATCGACTTTGCCGGCACCAAGGAGACCGTCTACGGTGAGTTTGCTTCCAGGTATAATTGAATTGTTCATGTCGGAACTGCTTGCTAACGAGGCTCCAGAGCGGGAGGACTGGCCACGCGAGAAGCTCCTGGTGAGTCAGGCGGGTGCTTATATTGGGGGATAATGGCAGGGAAACTCGTCAATTGGGGCTGTTGGACTGACCAGTTCGGTGTAGGAGTACTTTAAGAACGACACCCTCGCCCTCATCGGATACGGTTCCCAGGGCCACGGCCAGGGCCTTAACCTGCGTGACAATGGTCTTAACGTCATTGTAGGTGTCCGAAAGGACGGTGCGTCGTGGAAAGAGGCCATCCAGGATGGCTGGATCCCCGGCAAGAACTTGTTCGATGTCACCGAGGCCATCAAGAAGGGAACCATCGTCATGAACTTGCTCAGCGATGCCGCCCAGAGTGAGACATGGCCTACCATCAAGCCTCTTCTTACTAAGGGAAAGGTAAGGTCATTCCCTGGCACAAGTCGTATTTAATTCTAAACGGAGATCACACGCTGACTTGGATAGCAGACACTTTACTTCTCGCACGGCTTCTCTCCTGTCTTCAAGGACCTGACTAAAGTCGACGTGCCAAAGGACATTGATGTCATCCTGGTCGCACCCAAGGGCTCTGGCCGAACCGTTCGCTCTCTCTTCCGTGAAGGCCGTGGTATCAATTCTTCCGTTGCCGTCTTCCAGGATGTAACCGGAAAGGCCGAGGAAAAGGCCGTGGCTCTCGGTGTTGCTGTTGGTAGCGGATACCTCTACAAGACCACCTTTGAAAAGGAGGTGTACTCTGACCTCTACGGCGAGCGTGGTTGCTTGATGGGTGGCATCCATGGCATGTTCCTCGCCCAGTACGAGGTCCTTCGCGAGAGAGGCCACAGCCCCAGCGAAGCCTTCAACGAGACTGTCGAGGAGGCTACCCAGAGTCTGTATCCTCTTATTGGTGCCAATGGAATGGACTGGATGTACGCCGCCTGCTCCACGACTGCTCGCCGTGGTGCCATTGACTGGAGCAGCAAATTCAAGGACACCCTCAAGCCCGTCTTCAATGAACTGTATGACAGCGTGAAGGATGGTAAGGAAACCAAGCGCTCGTTGGATTATAACTCGCAGAAGGACTACCGAGAGAAGTACGAGAAGGAGATGCAGGAGATCCGCGACCTAGAGATCTGGAGAGCCGGAAAGGCTGTCAGGTAAGCGTTGCCCCGGTACCACCTGCTGTATCATTGCTTCCTCATGCTCACACTAACACTTTCTTCCTACCTAGATCCCTGCGGCCGGAAAACCAGAAATAGACACAGCCCTATTCTCTTGACCGTTTGACCGCCGATACCCCCGGGCTTCATTTTTCTATCTCTTTTGTACCCTGTCTGAGCTGTTCCTCTTTGTACCATTACCTTCAGGTTACCGCAAAATAGCTTGGTCGTTTCTTTTCATTTTTTTATTTTTAGAGACTGCAGCAGTTCATCCTCCATCCTCACATTCTCTACCTACATACAGTGCAAGTATCTCACATCGGAATCAAGGACCACTTCTCCTTGATAGTGTTTTTATTTTTCGCTTCGTCATCCTTGTCCCTGAGCCGTCTAGCTTGTTCCGGAGTTAATTGGCCAAGTCTCCGTGGTTCCAAGACTCCCGTCTTGCCTGCGAAAAGGGGTTCCAGTAAGCCTGGGTTGCTGTTGGGAACGGGATAGTCGCATAAGAACTTATGAAGTCCAAGCACGTCGCGTCTGTACAGGCTGAGGTTCCATCGAGTGCCAATGTTTCGGGCGCTGTTGATAAACCGAACCACGAACTCTACCCATCGAAAGGCATCAATTTCAGCCGTGAGGCCAGGACCCCGGCGAAATTCGACTGTATAATTATCTCCCTCCAGCAAGTTGGTGAAGTTCCAACCGTAATTCCGGTTGTTCCCGGAGTTCATAAGCTGTACAAGCTCAACATTGTTTGTACATGCATCGACAAGGTCAAAGGATGCCTTGTCAGACTTTCCTTCGAATCGCGGATTGTCACAACAATTATTCTTCCCCCATATACTCCCGCGGCGATGCTCGGGGACGACGAGCTCAATAGATGACTCGAAGTACAGGATAGCGCGGGAAACACGCTTAAGATCCTCTAGTGTCCACGGTCTTTCTTGCTTGCTGATGTGAACGTGAAACCCACAAGAGTGGTTCACTTGAAGGGATGCAAGGGTTCTCAAGTGCTTGAACACAGATCCCACAGATCTCCTCCAGAGTGGATTGGAATGGTACATTACTGGAGATGAGAATTCTGCGTCAACTGTTGATTCGTTAGCGAGTTGATATACGAAAGATAGAGAGAAACATACTCTGTCCAGGCCTATCAGTTTCAAGGGAGCAGTCCTCCTCCATCGTCCATTCAGTTAGGCGATTCGGCCCAAAATAAGGGCATTCGTCCAGATCAAGGTGCATTAGATGCACGTTTTCTTTGATTTGGCGGTAGCTGGATACCAGCTCCTTTGCAAAATCTTCCTTGGACGTGTACACATTGTCATTTGGCTGAAGGAACAGTTCGACTTCTATGCCAATTTTGTAGTTGGTCTCCATTTGGCTTGGACTAGGCAGAGATTGGTGGAGGTTCTGGTTAGAGGAGATGTATGCAGAATTATCAAGCAGGTCCTTGCGTTATGAGTAGAGGAAAGAGATATTGGATACTTTTGATTTTCCCTCTGAAGCAACAGAGAACTGTTCACTTATTTATGCTAGTTAACATTGCTTTCTTGAATATTCCAGTGAAGAAGAAGCATTCACTTCTCTTCTGTTAATTCTGCAGAATTGCCATTCCAAACAAAGGTCTTACCATGCACCTGCTCATTGTCTCCATTTAGAATATCGGAGAATCTGATGATACAGTCCCGCAGGGTATATTCGTTTGCTTTATATGCAGTTAGGCGGTTCTCCTCCTCCTGTGTCTCCACATAGTAAGCCATACCATCTACAAAAAAATGAAGTCGTGCACATTGAAGCACAGGGCATCCACCCCAGAATTTAGCCTGATAGCCCAGAACCTGTGCAGGACGCAGGTTTAGTTTCACATCATCAGAGGGTAGGTCAAGGACTTCGGCCAGTAATTCCTTATCCATAAGGTTTCCATGAACGAAAAAGTGGTACTTCTCGAAATACCCAGGTGTTCCAATATTTAAAGCATCGGCATCTGGTACGTAAGGATCGGCAGGAGGCTTCCAGCCTTCAGGTATCATTTTAAACTTCTCCGCCATAGTGGAACGCTTTGTGAGCTTATGATGGAGAGCTCTAGGTGATATATTCTCCATGGCTGCCGCCTCGATAGATGAAGATGAATGTAGGATCTCTCCAGTTGATAGGTGCGCTTATGCTTTTCCTGAGGTTACAAGCCAGATTAGTTGATAGTCTACTATTCTGACAGATAGCACACATACAAACATCAAGATGGCTCTAGATGCAGCCAGAAGAAGAGCAGTTCAATTTCAGGACCGCAATAATATGGAATAGTGTATTCGTTGCGTAGCTGATGGTAGAGGACAATAGAAGGCAAGTAAGTGTCTTGATGTTCTGTCATGCTGCGGTTTTATACTGCGTCATCTTAGTAATCAAAGGGAGGCTCGAGATTACTAACAAAGTTAGAAATTCGGGGATGTCACGTGCCGCGGAAGAGCCGCACGCCCTGCGAATACGAGATCGAGATATAAGGCCGGAGGCGCGGACAGGTGGAAAGAGGGAAACGAACAGGTATCTGAGAGGCGTTGTGGTGCTGAGACAGATCTTAAAGAACAGTGCATACTAGGCCCTGCAAACATGACGGACAAACAGCATTGGCTCCCCGTGACGCGGGAGAACATCCAAACTGCTCATTCTATGATTAGGCCGTATATTTACGAGACCCCGGTTCTGACGTCCAAGACGTTGAACTCCCTTGCGTCCACCCCGCAGCCAGCGGAGGCCTTGATAGGAACCCCGTTCGAGGGTCAGCAGCCGGCGTGCCCGAAGATTAAATTCTTCTTCAAGTGTGAGAATTTCCAGCGGATCGGAGCGTTCAAGGTGCGGGGAGCTTTCCACTCCATCCTGCGAGTTATCAAGACCAAGGGTGAGGAGGAGGTGAGAAAGCGTGGTGTAATCACACACAGCTCTGGTCTGTTATCTTTGCCTGTTTTCATTTCTGCTATTCCAGCATTATCACTTTGTTTGTGTGAAACCGTACGGCTAATGGTTGGGTGTAGGAAACCATGCTCAGGCTGTTGCTCTCGCTGCGTCCACTCTTTCAATCCCGGCCTACATTATCATGCCGTCGATATCTATCCCATCTAAGATCGAAGCCACCAAGGGCTACGGTGGGAAGGTGGTTTTCTCCGGATTGACGAGCGAGCAGCGCGAAGAAGTGATGCGGAAGGTCCAGGAGGAGACTGGTGCTATTCTGATTCACCCATACGACCACCCAGATACCATCATTGGCCAAGGAACTGCTGGCCTCGAACTGGATACCCAAGTAAACAAACTTGTATCTGAGAACCCCGAGTTGAGTGTCCGTGAGACTGAGGATGGGAAAGGATGTGGTTTGGATGCAGTTATCACCCCCGTGGGCGGAGGAGGTCTGAATTCTGGAACCGCTACCGTCTTCGCCGATCCACGGGCTGATGGCCGCAAGATCCACGTCTTTGGCGCTGAACCATCGTTCCAGGGCGCAGACGATGCTCGTCGTGGACTTAAAGCTGGGGTGAGGATTCCAGAGGTCAAGTCACTTACAATCGCCGACGGATTAAGGGTTCCGATCGGTGAGATCGCATTTAGTATCCTTTCTGATCCCGCCAAATCCCGCGGCGTGTTTAGCGTGACCGAGGAGCAAATTAAGAGTGCAATGAGACTTGTTGTCGAGAGGATGAAGATAGTCATCGAACCCAGCGCGGCTGTTCCCCTTGCAGTCTGCCTCTACAACGAGGAGTTTAGGCGGATTGTTGAACAAGAGGGTGGTGAAGCAGGCTGGAATATCGGAGTCATATTCTCTGGGGGCAATACGACTATCGACGCCATGTCCGGTCTATTTTCTGCATCTTAATCCTGGAGATGGCTTTCGCTCACAGACAGATATATGAATAACATAGATAGTAGATAGCAAAGTGTGCTTTTCTCATTCCACTAGGTTAATGCCCCGTTTATGGACAAAATAATTAAACCGTCCTTTGCATTTTGATTTCTGTATCGACGGCCCGATCCATGATGGCCAGTCCTCTTTGCCATAGGGGTCAATCCATGCCGAAAATTTCCCCTGTGCAACTACAAGACTGCGCTGATGGCCAAGATGAAGGGCGTCCTTGATGGACCGTGAAGAGAATTTGCGGACTGCATCACGTCGGACAACTAGTCGCATTGTTGAATAGGATCTCCATGCATGAGGCAAATGGGGCATAAAGGACATGACCTTGGGACGCGGATATAGAAGCTCAACAGGATATCCAAACCCGCTTGGCTTAGGAATGTGTAGGTCAGCCCTCCTCCTGCCGATGACGGTGTAGATAACAGTACATGCAAACCGGTCTTGAAGCCGGCGCAGACACCAGACAATGTACTTCGCTGAGTGCACGATTTGATAGAGCTGCGGAGGTTCAGTCCAGGGAAATTTAGGCAATTCCGTTGGCAGGCTGTCTACAAGTGCCTGGCGTTTGTCCTTGAAGTAGAATGAGGACGTGCTATCCAGCATGATAGAATGGAGCTTCCTTGGAGCAGAACGATGCCGTGTTACGTCAAGCAGGTATTCCTCTAGGGATCGTAGGGTTGCCACGACTGATTCCGACGAGCTAGGTTTGAAAACATGGACATGTTGCAGGCAGTCTGTCACCATCTTCCGCAGTTCAGCCTCCTCATCTTCTCTCAGCCGCTTGCGAGGAGGCGGTCCAGCACCGCGCTGCTTCTGCTTTTGCCCATACATCTTCTCACGCGCGTAGTGAAGAGCTACGTCGCGTAGACGGGTAGCGTTGAAATGGTTCTGGGAGTCCAGAAAGACAACGACCCCGTTCTGTCCACCTATGCGGATACCGTTGAAGGATGCCGGCAGTATGCCTACAGCAGCAATATAGTATAGTAGCGATGACTTGCCGCTGCTCCTCCCCAGGCCTCGTCTGGGGCCGGCAATCTCCAGCACTTTGTGGTGATCAGGCCCTCCAGGGCGAGAATGTGGCGGTCTGTGGAAGATGCGCAGCATGTCATCAATCACTCTGACGCCCACGGGAGTTGTCTCGATATGGCCTTGGGGATGCTTCCCGCATTTACGCCTAACATCGCGAAGGATCTGTGGGCACGGTTAGCTGGTGCTTGGGTAACTAGCTCGTTATTAGTTATAGGTTTCAATCGGTCATTGCTCACGCCCTCCAGAGTGTCTTCCTGGGTCTCTTCACGAACCCGTTTCCCTAAAGCCCGCGTAGCCATGACAGCTTCTGAACTCTTGCCTTGTGGATGGCTGTGCAGTCGTCTGCGGTAGTTTAGTTATGTAGCAGATGCTCGAAGCTAAGTTAATTACCTAATTGGGTTAAGTTGACTAGGGTCCGCTGCGGTTGGTCGAAAAAAAGGAGTATATTACTTAGTAATTAAGTTATTCTATCTTATCCAATAATATATCTTTATTCTTTAATTACGTAATTTTAGAAAATAAGTAATGGTTAGCTCCTCCATATGAAATGAATTTTGACCCGATAACTAGTTCGAACATCCAGTCTGCCGTAAGAGCCTCAACTTCAACGTCTGTACACTCGACGTCGAGCGTCTACCCTGCACGGACCCGGGGATCAGCACTCATCAATGGCACCTCAGGTCGAGTCATGGCCGGCTACTGAGCTCCCTCAGCGCCTGCAGAGCTATCATGTTGGTTACAGGGCGAAAGCTCGCAAGGGCGGCCCCATTGACCTGGCTCAGTGCCCTCTCTACGAACTGACGCAGTACTCGTGCAATCCGCCGGACGCAGGGCCACCGGAGCCCGGCGTAGTCAGGTGTACAACATTTACGAGGCTCTTCCGAAGGTATTTATTTGGTTCCCTCCCTGTTGTTTCGTTGCGTTGTGGATAGTGCTGATGATGGCGACCGCTCGCTAGATGTGCCAACGGAGTTACCGCTGAGACAACCGCATGGGAGAAAACAGCATCGACAAGGCTATAGACAGCGAGGATTAGAGATTACGTATGATGAAACTGTTCATCTATTTACATGGGAGACTGAGGAAACATGCGTCAATGGCGAATACAGCAAAGAGTGCAGGATGAGGTCACGTCAAGGCCGTGTCGAGCCACCGGTATCAACCCGTTTAATCCAACGGACGAGCAACCGAGAAGAAGCAGAAGATAGAGTAAGATTGTTGGAGGTTGACGACAGGCCAGCCAGTCTATTCAGCTTCCCTCGCCGCAGCCATTGTCATACGCTGCGGGTCGGGGCGGGTAGCTGGAGCTGATGGTTTGCGCCAATAAACCCGGTTACTGTTCACAATCGGCCCAAGGTCTAGCACTAGGGAGCCATCGGCCTGTTTGGAGGCAGAGGTCGACTTTGCCAATGCCTTCAGTGTCTTGTCAAACATGCTGTCCATGCTCTCGTTTTTGCGCCCCCACAGTAACTTGTCCCGGTGTGCCCGACCGCTGCCCTGACCCTCCCTCGCCGCACGTGTGAGCTTGCGCAAGGCCTCCTCACCCAATCGACCTTCCTCCGTTGCGCGTTCTCGGATCTTTTCAGGGTTGATTTCTCGCTTGGTGGCGAATACAGGGGTCTCTTGATATGTGTGTTTGCTTGGGAAACTGGGGAAGTTTTTGGGTATATAGGAGGCTTTCTTCAGATCACCGACCCCGGAGTTTAATTCAGGCCCCAAGAAGGCGTAATTTCGCGCTGGTATGGGTTTGTCTTCATCGTCTGCACCTTCTGGAGGGGGAGTAGGGAGACTTGGTTTGGATGAGGGAGTAGTAGTAGTAGTAGTAGGCTGCATCCTCCGCGGGAATGCCTTGAGATGCGGTTGAAGGGAGTCTACACGTATCGAGTGGTAGCGTAATGCGTGTTCAAAGTCCTGTGGTATGGGCTGCACCCTCCGACTGGATGTCATCGACTGCCGGACGTAGGATAGAAAGTGAAGCATATCTAGACGAGATGGTTAGTTTTTTACAGGCTATCAGGTGGCAGCAGAGGCTAGATGGAACACACGCTCTTCGACATTGTTCCTGAAGCTGTCCAAGACTACCGGCTCGACGTTATCAAATCCGGCCTCATCCAGCACTCTCGCAATCGACGCATTCAGCTGGGCATCAATGGAGGTGCTATCATTCAAGGTCTCTGCGCCAGCAGCAAGAAGGTCGTGGGAACGCTGCAAACAGTGATGCCGCCGGTATGATCGTCGCTGTCTCTTTGCTGGAGAGGCGCCATCCGCATCGAATGACGGGCGTTTTGTAGAGCTCTGGGGTGAGGGAGGCATCTGGGCCGGGTTCGTCTGGGCCATCTGAGCGAAAGTTGATTAGCGGTCCACAGGGAACCAAACGGAGCAAGATGGAGTTGTTTGGGCGCGCGATGTAATGTCCAACAGCTCAGGCCGCTCGTCTGCTCTTATCCTTCGCTGTCTTCTGCTCTGTGTCCTTCTCGTCGCCGTCTGCGTGCGGTGCATGCGGATGGATGTCGTGAATCTCGAACTTCGCAGGCAGAGGAATGGTGGAAGAAGAATAGTCACGTGATGTTATTCAATGGATGGACCCGGACTTCTGTGAGGTGTTCATTGTTGGTATTATTATTCAGGCTGGCAATGGGAAGACGGACGCGGGGCAGATGACGCCCCTTTTTGCTCTCGCTAACAGCCATTCATTCACTCATGCGACTTGCTATTGATGCTGCCGTCGCCGTCGCCGTCGCCGTCGCCGTAATCTTTTTCTGCCTTTTCTGGTGTTGCTTGTGTTGGCTCATACGAGAATCACGTGACCCATCCGTCCTGCCATCAACTTCGACTTTCGACTTCAACTTCCGATCGCACTTCAGACACTTTCAACAACGACGCAGACCAACTTTTGCTCCCTTGCGATTCATCCACCCTTCTCTGCCCTGACCTCGATTCTCAGCGCTGCACAATGGCTGGCGTTATGGCTATGAAGCCCGTTACTGGAGTAAGTGCTGGAGTTTGCCGTCCTTGCCGCGCGAGAGGGCCCATCGTGCCTTTTTTTGCAGCTTTTATGGCTTCTTCTGGAGGCCCTGCGTCCGAATGGCCCGGCATCTGTCCTGAAGAAACTTGCTAATTGTCATGTCTGATGAGTAGATGCTCCGCCGCGGCTTGGTGCTTGATCTTAGCACCGCCTTGGGTAAGTCCAAAACCTGATAATTGCCAGGGAAGACCACCATAGTGAAGGACGGTGACTACCTAAAGAGGGAGAGAGAAGGCATCTCGATCCATCGACAAAACATATATCCAACTCTGAACACCTCGGTTCGAATATCTGTCTAATATATCCCTTAATTGTAGGACTTGGAGTTAGCTGTGGCTACTTCTGGTGGTACGGTATGTAGTGCACTTCCTTATGCTTCGGTAGTCAAGATTCATTGCCAGATATCTGATCCCTACTGATACAGGCTATCACCTCCCGCGCGTCCGTGCCCGTGACAACTTCTACTCCCGACTTGAAGCCCAGCGTGCCGAGGAGCTCTCTTCTTAAAAACCTGACACGCTACCAACGAACCTTGAATCATTACGCATGCTCAGCCCTTCTTGACCTCGCAGCCTTCCACCGCTATCCGGCCATTATCCGTATACTTGTGAATTACCGCACACCATTACATTGTGAATTTTGATACACTGGCCGGTCCGCCAACCTGACATGGGAGATGGAGGAGAGTCATCCGCGCTGCGTATCGTGTACTGTATAAAAAGGGAACTTTGAAAAATACTGGAAGAATCCTACTTCGCTATAGAATGTCAACTTTTTACACCTGCCCTTTTATTAATTTTTAACTACCAATATCTCCGGCATAAGGTGGTACTAAATATGTACGATCTGTTTTGACAGCCTGCAATGTCGTACATATGTAGAAGTATAGTTTCACTCGATGGAACGTAAATAAATGAATGCTGGGTGGAACATTTCTATAGAAGGTAATTATACCGAGGGGAAAGGAGCAATGCCAGAAACCAGGATGAATGGTGAGAATCTCGCTAATGGCATACATGAGGTCATGCTTATCGTGTAACGCGATCGTACTGTATATTTTTAATGGTGCCCCCCGCCATGGCGGTTCGAACGTTCCGCTTGAATCCTTCGTGGTTAAGTCGCAAATCGTCGGCTGCTTCTTTGTTCAAAGGGTCAGAGGCGTTTGGCTCGAGAAAGAGGAACTACACTGGTTGTTAGTGACCCAGAAGTGGCGCTTGAAAGATGCTAGAATATACGCACCTGTAGTCCAACAATGACGGCATTCAAGTTTAACACAGGTTTCCAGTCTTCTCTCAATATGTTGAGACAGACATTTCCTTCAAGATCAATGTTGGGGTGATATATCTTTTGCTGGCCTTTTACTTTTGGAGGATCGTGCGGGAAATTCTGGTTGATCGTGAAGGTGAAGGAAAACGTTCCGCCACGGTACATGCCCTCGTCTGGCTCGATGATTAGAATGAAGTTTAAGATATCGTCGGGATTAGGAAATGTCATTTTCATCGTGCTGCCAAGAGAGAGTTCCGCGAGATCTGCAATCCTATCATCAGTTGAGAATCAAGACGAAATTATGGGCACAGGATCACAGACATACCGCGCTGTACTCGTAGCTGAGATGCGGTGACCTTTTTCTTCTTTTTCGTTTCTACCGCACCACCGCCCCCTTCGGAGTTCTCAGCTTGCTGCTGCTTCTGTTTCTATTGAGAGTCAGCCCGGCTGCACAGGCATGTATATGGGGGTGAAAACCCTCAGAAGGTCCTACCATAGACCATATTTTCAACATCTTGAATTATTGCGGGAAGATGCAGTTGGCGGAAAAGGACAAGAAAAAACCCCCAGCAACCTTGTCAATATAGTCCGGTGAACCAGAGCCAACTTGACGATGAAGTAGACTGCGGATATGGCTACGGGTGCCTTTATCACTCTGGCCGTCGTTCCCGGTTTTGGGGCACCAGAGTTGAGAAGCAAAGGTCGGGCGGTGTACGGAGTATATGTTATACTGGTGCGTGCTGCGCGTTGGGTATGAAGATACAGTTCTAAAGGTGTTTGAGCA